GAATTATAATACGGAATTAGGTACTTCATTGGTTGCTGTTGAACCTGTTCGTCCCTTTTGACATACAAAACAAGATGAGAAATACTATTAAATGTTTCGTCTTACAAAATTTATATTTATTGACCAGTTTATGAGTTGGTAGATGGTAATACCTGTTGCTTCGGATTTGTACAGGGCCTTACCTTTTGGCTGTTTGTTTTGTCGTATTTATTTATGTTGAAGAGGAAAATCGGTCCATGTAGGTACCTAGTCTGTTTCTTTGCCAAAGCTGGTTTTTATCGTATAATTGTTGGATCGATGGCGAACGTGAGTGCACGTGCGTCAGCGGCGAGATTATGTTTCGTTTCAATTGCCAATTCACTGATAGGAAAATCATAAAAACATATTGTCTAAATTGGCTATGACCTAACGCGCAACTAATTGAAACTAGTGGATTTTGGTATATTTACTGAGGTAGATTTTAAATTATTTTGGAAATAGCGTAAAACATAAAGAAATAATTATATTAGCTAAAAGAAATGAACAGACGGATACCTAGGTGTCATGAGAAGTTGTTTTTATTAGGACTAAATACTATCCTTTTGTAATTATTCTAGTTTGATCTATGGAGTTAGGCATTTTGACATAGAGTTTGAGCAAGTGTTTTTTTTTTAAAGGTGTAACTTAGACAGAGCAAAATAAGATTAATCGAAATGATAAGCAGTATAATTTGCCATGTGGTCTAACATACAATAGGCCACCTCTTTTTTTCTATTGGGTGTTGTAAGAGGTGACTGAGGGAGCGTAATTGTCGAGGGATGGGCAACAGCGTCCTCTTAAAATGATACCAAAACCTAACTACGGTTGCCAATTCGCCTGCTAAATGTAGTAACTACTGGCAAATCTCTCTTTTTGTAGAGGTCTATTTTCAGAAGTGGGCAATTGACGGTTGTTTTGATGATGATAATGAAATTAATTCTAATCTTATTTAAAAATTCACTCGTAACTTGATGTACTAAAAGTTACGGCTTGGCAAAAAAGGTATGAGCTCTCTACTCTTAATCTTATTAGGTATAGCATACAGCTGTATCATACACACTGAGTTGAATAATATCCGTAAAGTACCTACTCACGAGACACTTCCGCTGGAGTACTACGCAGATATCGCGGTGTTAATATTTGAATCATAAGAGGCTGCATACACGGAGCGATAATTGAAATATCCTGTCGGTAGATCGATCACGGATCGCAACGAAAAATTCCGAAAGTATCTTATGCGATCGCTATATTTTTCAAACAGTCTTCCTTCACAGGCACAATGTTGCTGAGTGTTTTTTTTTGTAGTATTTGAATTAAATGTTGATGCTTTGTTGATAGCCTTTTTGAAATTACTTGTATTTTTTAGTTTCTTTGATAATTTGGCAACACTGGTATGGTCTACTGCGCAAGTCCGATGTCCATCCACTTCAGTTTGTCTATTTGCTGTCTTGAAAATCGGTATATAGCTGTATTGAACGTGCGTTTCCAACTTAAATTATTAAAAGGTTAATGATTTTTTAAACGGATGAAAAAGGATTAGTAATGGTAAGTATATGCTGGTAAGGTACTAGAAAATGACGATAAGAAGACCAACGAAAAGTCAACTTCACAACAATGGGACTATAAGTCCAATTCTTAACATACCCTCCATCCAGTAAAGGATTGTCGAGATTATCAATTCGATTGATCGAAGAGATGATTCTCTCCGTGTATGTGGGGCTTTATGTGTAGTGTGTCGAGGGTTGAGGTTGCGGACAGCGGAGCTCGTACGGCCGTGACCCTGTCTGTATGCCGACTGCCGGCCGCGGGCCCTATTTACATAACAACGCGTAGAATCCGGCGTTAACAGCAAACGCCACGCAACCTCAGCGATTATCCAATTGAATGTGATCGAGAGCGATGAATGATTGTCTTGGATCTTGAGAACTGCTAGTCTCCGTGATACTGTTTAGAGATTCGAGCTAGACTCGATGTCCGCCGATGTTTAAAGAACGCTGTTTGTGATTTGAATCCGGGTTTAGATTTATTGCGTAGTTGGAAATTTCAATGTTCGTAATTATTTATGTCCATGGTTCAGGTCTATAGGCGGCGGTTACCATTTTCCATCAGGTTGACCGTTTGCTTGTTTGTCATTTTAGTTGAATAAAAAATATATATATATAATAAATTTAAAATATATATAACATAGTGGTTTTAAATTTCTCGTTTTGAATTTTCACGATACTCTTATGTCTGGATTTTACGTGTCACAAATTGCCACGTCACGTATGAATGTACCTAATGAACACTTGGGGTAAACAATTTATGACTTCCCAAATGATAGACAATTCTTAAGATTATAGAACGAATTGAAAGGAAGCAACTTTGTAAAAAAAACCGTTGCACTCACTGTATAGAAATTTGGTTTTCTATCTATATTCTACGTATATATATAAGGTTCTCAAACTTCATACATCGGATAGATAGATAGTAATAATATAGAGAATAACAATTTTGCTACACTCATGTGCTTCGTCAAATCGCGGATCTAGTCGATAATAATAATTAATTAATTTAATGATAGTCTATGGTATTAACGGTAATGTGATTTTTTTATTAAATGTATACACATAAATAAGTCAAAGTTTATTATATAGGTTTTTTATATATTGCTTTTTAACCGACGTTATTAGTATCTTAGATAGTATATTTTTATTATTATAAATTGTACATATTATTATTATAATATGTACAAATAAAAAGCACTGTGTAACATCGAAACGAGTTGGTAGTGAAAAATCGTTATTATTTAGTACTTTTTCTGATAAAATGATAAGACGATAAATGATTACTGATTATATTAAGTTGATAGGTGTTGGAGATTTTTGAGATATCATATTTCGATCGCATCAAGTATTTGATAACGTCATATATCAAATTTTAACTTTAGGCTTTAGATAAACTTTTTTCTTAATTTTCATTAGTGATCTAATGTAGTTGTCGTTAGTAACTTATTTGTAAGTGAAAATAGCACGTAAATATGATTATGTTGTAGTTGGTGTTTTATTTCGTATTGTATAAACATCATTGTAATTCAATATATAGGTATTACAAAATATTTAATTGCAAACTTAAATTTATATGGTGCGGCATCAATTTTCCTGTTGAGTGTGTATAATAAATTGTATGAATATTTATCGATCTAGTTGCTTCAAATTTCTAGAAGAGCTATTCCATTTTAGTTTTTAGATATTGATAGTGTATTATTATTATTATCTATTTATTTAAATCTCTTACTTAGAGTAAGTGTTCGTTTTGATTGCAGACTCGGGAAAGGAACATTTTGGTAATAGACGCTTTGATATTTGAATATACGCAAATTATCTACTCTACTTACCACCTTATTAACAGTTTCTTTTATTTACTTGCTTTCAAATGAACAATTTAGCTTAAAAGAATATACAAAACCAGAAACACAAATAGCTTATAACTGATGGTATTCAAGGCTGTTTTTTTAAAGATGAAAATAGAATACAAACCCCATTAATACTATTAATTTATGTTGGCAGGGTATTAGTGATTCTAGATAAAGGTGAAGTTAGGTCAGTTGGCTCATTCTAAATTAACCACGATGGTTTCTAATGAGGATTGCGTGGAGGCAAACTGATAGGGTATATTACAAGCAATGGGGTCATTGGTCTCCGCTATCTACAATTTATTGGGCAGGCAGGGCAGGGATATAGTAGGTTTGTTATGTAAACTTTTAGGTTAAAATTTAATCTACGAAGAGATTTAATAGACATTTGATATTTTTATTAATAAAGGCAATAACAATAATAAATGGTTTAAAAGTAATAGGCAACGGTTAACATAGTTTTAGACAACAATAACAAGCTTTTTTTCAATTTATTGACGTATAATGTTACAAAATACTATTAAAACATGTGTATGTAACATCTCACTGTAATTGTATGAATATAAAAGTTTTATTGTGTACATCAGTCAGAAATTGTTTTATTATATAGTCTTCACCTATATCAATATATTATGTTGTTATATTTAACAAATTATTTCTTTTATAAAATTAACAATGATTCATGTTTAAAAATGACGTACGTAACTGAATAATGAATGAACAATAGGTGTTACTAATTATCTAAAGTCTCTATTTCCTACAACAATAAAATTATTAATTACGCTGATAATTAAATTTTATTAATAATTTTCAGTTATAAATAGTAAAAAAATTATACCATAACAGATATATTTAAAATTGTAAATAAATAATAAAATATTTCTTTGTTCAAAGCTTTTTAGGAACAAAATGGCACGATTTTAGAGGCAGTGATCCATATATTGCGACAATATTTATTCTAGATGTAGGTGACGACGCTTTATCATATTTTTCATATGAACGCTTTCGCAACAGTTAGGTATGAGTCGGCGCTTCCGAGCGATGTTCATGCCACGATTGCTGACACAGATTGAGGCTTATCCACGCAGAACTCGTGAAGCGAAGTGACAGCTAGCAACAACCTATTTGAAACGCAAATATTGAGTGGAACTGTAGATGTATGTGCTCATGCTAATATTGCTGATATGGCGATTTTAAATATGTGTAACGCGTGGCGCGGTCTATCTATCTAGTTACGTACATAATAGATGCATTCGTACAATTGCATCACTGCAAATGGGTGACGAATGAGTAGTGTGTATTGTGACTAATTCCGAACATATTCCTAGTCAAATTACAGTTGGCGTCTGATAAACTACTGCACTACTTAGTAGGTCTTTACTTACCTCGAGGTACATCTAGTTTATTATCGTTTCACAATGACAATGATTATTTTATACTTAATTCTGTTTTATGGTGCCACTACAAGAAACAATATATAGAAATCTTTGTCGGTGAATTCGTGATTAGCCATTTTTAGGCAGTATGAACTAAATTTATTTATTTTAGAAAATAAATTTCCTAATAAATTGTTTTTCTCTTGTTGCAGGCTGAGTGTGAGAAGTGTTCGAAGCGGATGCGGCGCAAGCACCTGCGTGCGATGCGCTGCTAGAGGCCGCGATGGTTGGCGTGGGCGTCGCGGAGGGGGGCGGGGGTAGCGGCGGCCCCGCTGACAGCTACTACGGCGAGTACTACCCCGCGGAGTCATACTACGTGCCGCAGGAGATTTGCCCACATCCGCAGCAACACCCGCAACATCCACATATGTGTACAGTTCACACTGAATACGGTCAGTATCAAATTGGCGAAACATAGGTATAGACCATCGAAAATGTAATAAATTACTACGTTTTGGAGTGACTTAGGTTGGCAAATAAACCAAACATACAAATAATATACTTTTAGTTACTAAAAAAGTAATTATCTATAATTTGGTATTTGATAAAACAGAATTCAAAATGTAATGGATATATGTATGCAAGTATCTACCATACAATATTCAATAAAATCCATTTAGCCGTTTGAGAGTGATTGAATACGAAGTATTTTTATAAACTTTAAAATTTTCAGTTAATACTCGTATTAGTAAAATAATAATCAGGCACTGATAATTTTATCTCAATGAAATACGAACAATTTAAATAAAAAAAAAAAAACATATTTGACAGTGTTCCTTTTCGAGCAAGACAGTGACCTCTTTTCATGGGAATTGCGAACCATAGCTTGACAAACGCGGTCCTATAGAATGCTCATTATTTTATTAATTTAAAAAATATATAGGTATATAATAATTCACTCAGCCGTTTTTGATAACATATAAAAACGTTTTTAAATTGTATGAGATAATTTTGTAATTATGAATTGCATAATTTACGATTTGCGACCGAAAGTAAAACATGCAATTCGTAATTACAACAAAAAATTAGTTCATACAACCGCATTAATTAAGAATCGTGCAAGATGTAACAAATTGTACCCGAGAGAAACCCTTTTACCTGTTGAGACAAAGAGATTCAAGGCTCTCTCGAGATGCCTAAAGTATGGCGTTGCTCAAGACTCTGCGGTTGTTTTGGTTGTGTTGTGCACTGCGCAGGTATTCGAGTCTCGAGGCTGATAAACTACTTGAACTATGCGGCACGTTTCCGCCATAAGCGAGCCACAAAAGTGGATGGATAATCAAACAAAAACCGATTTCCACGAATGTATAAAATCGCCCATTCATAACCGCAGAATAGGTATTGGGCGAACCGTCACCACAGAAGAAAAATAGGTACCGTCACTATGTCAACATAAAGGAAATTGGAATTGAAAATGCCGAGTTAATTCGTCACCGTTTGTTTTATCGGCCACTGACAACAAATAACATTATCTACCTATTTGGTTACTACTTTTAATTTAATTTATAATTCTTACCTATTTATTAGGTATATTAAATATGTAATGTGTATTTACGATATGTTTAATTATTCATTCATTCAAGCATTTTTTGTACGTTTAACAAGTAATACGTACCTACGTAACAGTTAACATATCAATAAAAAAAAAAAAAACTTACATCTACACAATCTAAATAATAATATAAAATCATAATTTTGCTATAAAAGCAATGTGATTAGTCTTCTATATATTTATAGATACCTTTATTTATAGATCTGTTTATAGATTATAAAAAAAAAATATGAGAAAAATCTGTAAGAATATCCTCGCAGATAAAAAAAGGATTTTTTAATCAGTTTAGAACTGACGGAGTTATGAGAAAAAAAAATACAACCAAATTGAGAACTACTCTTCTTTGGCCTTTGTGCACACCTTTGTGCACGTTCAAATCCGTATTTATGAAGAACACAGCCGCATTGAGTAGGTAACAAAATTTTAAAATATAAACATCTTTAAAAAAAATTATAATTATTATACCTTTATATATTTTTATGCCAACTGATTCTTAAATGGAGGATCGGAATGACGATGTCAACAGCAACATAACTGGGTAGAAATTGGAAAAATGACAGCTTATTAACGCGAACTAGAATTGACGCCATGCGCGCGTTGGTTTTCTCCATTTTTTTTTTACAGCACCGAGGCCTGGACACTCAAAACCACAGACAAGCTGAAATTGGATACATTTGAGATGTGATGGAAACAAATGTTCCGTGTCTCTTGGATTGTTCGAAGAATGAATGCATAGTTGCAATTAATTGAAATTTACAGACCAACAGCGGGTCTCGTCTGTAATTCTTCGTCTTCTTATACCGAATACTGAAATACTTTTGACATATAGCTTGAAGAAGCAATGACAATCTATAAAAACCCATAGTAAGTTAGGACAGGTTAGGTAGAAGGTGAAAGACCTAAAGACTGCAGTTCAAGTCGTTGGACAGTTCAAGTGTAGGAGGAATTGGAGATACCGGTGAATGTAGTTATCTAAGTGGCGTAATAAAATCGTAGAAGAAGATGGAGTAAGACAATAAAAGAAGTGGAATGGGGTTTTGATCCTCAAGAATGAGAGACCGATTAAGAGAGAGATTTTAACTGAATTTAATAGATTAATGACAATTTAATGACACATTAATAAGAATAAAAACATCTCGAATACCTACTTATAAAATAATTACAATCATGGAAAATTTGGTTTTGAAAAATGTAAGGTATTAATAATAATTGAGAAGCCATTATTGGGTTACATGGGTTTTATAAGAAGGTTGATTTAGGAAGACTTTTTTTAATGGATGATAATGGAATGATTATCCCGTTTGCGCTATTGGTATACACCGGTGGGACACCAGTGAGGGATGATAAGTGAAAATGAAAGACCAGGTCAATTAGCCTATCGTTATAAATACACCTGGAATTCAGCACGATGGTTTCTAGGGGGACACGTGGAGGTCGACCTGACGAGTTATATTTCTAGCAATGGGACTGGTAATCCGCATTACTAACAATTCCTTTCCCCCTATAAGGAACACTAGGTGCAGGGGATTATTTCTAGTTTTCCTTATGCACTGAAATATTGTTTTATTTATTGTTATGTGCCATATTGTATTTTGATTTTTTAAAGAACGCAAGAAACAGTTATAAATTCTGTGTTTCTAGTTATTATAATAGTAGTAGAAAAATTCTTAAAGGAAGAATTCTTTATTAATTAATTTACTTATCAGTGTTATAACAAATAATATCTATATTAAATAGGTAATCATTGAAATAATATGGGCATATTACAGCGGGAATGCCAGTGGTGACGTCAGCGGCGATGATGCCGCAGTTGATGCCGCAAGTAATGGATGAGAGCTTGCGGCACTACCTGGTTCCGCACCCGCACCCACAGGCGCATCCCCACCACGGACCACACCACCAGCCACCACACCACCAACCACCGCACCATCAACCACCGCCACATCATCAGCCCCCACATCACTATGTAAGTATTGTTCACTTCCAAATATTGCAGGTTGGAATCCAGGTGTTCCAGGAATCGTGTACATACTGATATAACATAATATTAATAGGTACTCTAGTTTTTTTAAGATTACAATTATTTTAATTTATTGTACATCTATACGTGATCCATAATAAGTACTAAAAAAGACAGGCTACATGGCTGTACAGATATTGTCCGTTGCTATATAGACATCATGTTATGCTAAGAACAAGGAAATACATAGAAGGAATGATAAAATAAAAACTGTAAATCATATGGTTACCTCCTTTCTTCTTATGCAAATATAATTAGTAAAAAGAGGACAAAAGATCAACATCAGTTGCTATTTTTCTCAATTCATAGCAGACTAGTGTATAAAAAATGTGTATATAAAATTTTTGTTTATTTATATTACTAGATTATAGATTCGACTTTGTTTTGTATAGAAAGTATGCAAGCTGGTTGTATCTTAATTTGGTAGGATTATACGGCCGTATAACATTTTTTATACACTAGCCTGCTATGAATTGAAAAAATAGCAACATATGGTGTATGTTTCGTCCTCATTTTACTAATTATATTTGCATAAGAAGAAAGGAGGCAATCATATGATTTACACTTTTTATTTTATCATGTCTTCTATGTAATTCCTTGTTCTCAGATGTCATGTAATCGGCATATTTTATGACATATTGCGTTCTGTCTATTCGATTTGACAATGACGGGGACGGACATGACGTCTGAGATGTGACAGTTGACAGCTCGCAATTGTGTTTTTGTTTGCGTTTGTTTGGTGTTTGGCTTGTAAACAAATTCACTAATTTACTTATACTGTATTAATTGCACAATTAAAGCAAGTAATAATATTGGAAAATTTATAATATTCAAGAAAATCAACCATTCGAACTACTATTTACCATGTATATTGACGGTTTGCGTTGCTTGGATTTACATTTACCGCCTGTATAAACATTTGTTGATATTGTAATACAATTTATGAATATTACACTATATGATATATTTCTAGAATGTACAATAATAATTTACCTGCATTTCGTGCGTAAGCGAAACGATAAACCGACCATATTTAGAGTGTACTACTACAGATATATTTCTGTTGTATTCGGCGTTAATCTAATCTTTGCAATGTTATACCAACGGCGATTGTAAGCCTTATCAGCGGTTCATAGTGTTGGCGGTACGTGGCAGTGACGTCCACAATTCGCGGTTGCTCGACTGTTTTTAATTCTTTACATATTTCTTTCAACAAAAATGAGTGATTCTGATGATATCAATAAAGATCCTAAACTTAAAGGAACACCTAAGGTCGGTAGGCTAATGTTCAATATATTTAAATAATATTTAGTAAATTATTTTTTAAATAAGATATTATAACTTTTATATTTGAAACAGTTTAAGTATTGGAATAACTCAAATTCAATTTAAATCACTTTAAACATTATGAAATAAAAGCAATATACTTTTATGTTTGATACCATATATTGTTTTTTTTTTTTTATTAATTTTTTTAAACATTATTAATATGAAAGTGTGTTTATCACTTATTGGAACCTTAACAGCTTAACCATTTGTCATTAAATTTGGTATACTTATGCTATTTGGAATGGAAAATAACGTAGGCTGTTTTTTTTTATTTTGATCAATTAATATATTTTGGTTGATGAGATGAAAATGAGGTGAAAACTAATATTAGAATAAATACATTACATTCTTTTTTATACAACTTCAAATGGTAAACAAGCTAACAGCCCACCTGATAGAAAGTGGTAACCATTGCCTATAGACATGAGCAGTACCATGGATATAACAGAGTTAGTACATTGCTGTGTGTTCCTGGCATGGAACAGGCTACTCCTTTCTCATAGGTGTTGTAAGAGGCAGCTAGGGGAATTTAATGGTCAAGGAAAGAACAGCAGCGTCCCTTTTAAAACATCACCAAAATCTCTACTGCGATTGCTAACCTGCCAAGCATGGCAACTACTGGCAAAACTCTCCTTTGTGGGGAGGATTAACAGCTGATATGATGATGATATCAGTGTATATAAAATCTACATCATTATTTGTTAATAAAAATATAGGTTCCTAAATTTATTAGACTTAGTAGATAGGTATATATTTCAGCCAAAAAAGGAAAAATTGTGTTCAGCCTTGAAGAATTGATTGTTAAGTAAATATGCAACTGTTGTATGTAAAATTTTTGCTTTAACATTAGACATTCATAGTGTATACTTGCTGTAATGCTGTACATCTATAGAACATCTGTAGCAGAATAACTACTGTGTTAGTCATAGGTATTGTAATCCTGAAAATGAAATCTAAAATACTTTTGTAGTAAAGTCACATACATTTTGTACATAATCGAAATTCTTACTAATATTATAAAAAAAATATTTTTGACATGTATCGTAACAAGACTTTGTTACGACTTTTTATATTGATTTTTCTTAAAAATTTCCCATGTACAGTTATCATCTAGTTACAATTTTATTAGTAACATTGCTCTCAGTGGTTTAGCTTAACACACATTTATATGAACGGGTTCAATTTCTGCACAAAAATAAACATTGGAATTCATAAGTATGGCTGTCTGTGTTGGTCTGGGTATTTTCTGAATGTATATATGACTAAAATGGGAGTAAAATCTAATTGCAAAATGAATCTGTTCAGAATTTGTAACATACATGTATACGAATAAGTACACACAAGAAGCAGGCTAATTGAGAATCTTCTTCATTTTGAAGTCACAATAACCAATCTGTAAGGATGCAAACTTGTACCCTTAAGCTAAAATATTTTTAGCTAAAATGTTGAGTGTTAGTTTATTTATCTATTACAATTTTTAAGCAAATGTAACAACATAACTATTAATCATTAATTTTCATAATTAATTGTATGTAATGATCAATCACTAATAACTGATTAATCATATAGAATTGGTTAATTCTCCTTATTTTTTACCCATTGAAATTATTTAAAACAATAATACATTTTAAAGTTGATGTTTAATATCCAAAAACACAGGTTAAGGTTGTTTTGGACTCAGGCAATTTATGGGTCATCATCAAAGATTGCAAGTTTCATTTTATTTTTATTATCTACTTAGGAAAAACATAAACACATACAGTGTGCTGACATTATTTTATATTTTAGTGCATTGAATTAAAACTCAACCTTTAAAAAAGTCTGTGTTTGCTCAGAATGGTGTGGTCACATGTCAGTCTAATGATAAAAGCAATTCATTCAAGGATCTTAATGAAAATTAATCATGTAATTAGTATTAAGATCATTGTATATTTTGAAAGAGATCTAACATACATGGATATTTAGAGTTTATAAATTTTTCAGGGTCCAACAAATGGTGCAGGAGGTCCTCAACATTACTATGGTGCAGGGTACTCACCTCACTACCATCACGTGCCTCAACACCATATGCAGCATTCTCCACCTCCATCGGTCTTCCAAAAAGATGAACGGACACAACGGCAATATTCCAAGCTTAAACAGAAATTGGAACGTAAACAAACTAATAGAAATAATGGTGTAGGTTAGTATATAAATTGCTTTATAATTGTCTTTTTCATTAGTTGAGATGTGTGTGAAGATAGAGTCCTTTGGCATGCGGAATGTGTTTTTTAATGTAATACCTACCGGTTTAACTTACATGTACTTGTAATTAGGTTCAGAAAGCTCGACTAGTTTCGGGACCTCTCGGGACCCTTAATCGTGAGTGGTTGTGACGTGAGCGCAAGTGGTCACATTAAAAAATATAATGTGTACTTCCGAATTTTTTAACAATAAAATGCGAACTGTGGATTTTTGTTTACTATGTAATCAATATATTATGTAAATTATGTTAAACGCTCAATAAAAGTTTAATATAAATAATATAGTATTTTCTATGTGAGTTTCTAGTTTCTATGTGAGTGATGAACGTGTATGGGAGGTTGTAGAAGAAAATAGTTGTCACACCTAGTTATTATGATAACTAACACATGCCAGAATTCGGTCACAAGTGCTTGCTTTGTATAAATAAAAAAGGAAAAATGATTTTTCGTATAAAGGAAAAATGGATTTGATCTACAGTGGAATTGAATTCTGGTGCGAGCACACCGTCGCTGTCACCGCGCAAAGAGTTAAATGGCCGCGGTGGAGGCAGCGGCGGCGCCTCCTCGGGCGCGTGGTCCGAGGGCGAGGGCTCCTCGGCCGGCGCCTCCGTGCAGGACGACGACGAGAACGACACGCAGGCTGTGTTAGATATGCTGTCCACGATACGCACCCCACAGGTACGGTAATAAGGTTTAACAATTTTCGCCAGGTAACAGAGTCATAATTTTGCATATTTTATAGAGAAAAACCTCAATTAATTTACAAGTGTTTATAGCTGGTTGTGCCTGTTAAATATTAGGTAAAATAATTTTTGAATGTTTTTGGCAATGTGTGTGTTTTTGAAAACGTGTAATGTAAAATTTTTGTGTCATTATTATAAAGAAATAAATTGCGGGCACACATAAGAAAAACTATTTTAATCAAGTAAAAAAGTCACTTTTAAACAAAAATTATTTTAATTAAATAAATTTTTTACAATTTTTAGGTGAGCGAAATAACTTCTACGAGTGCCCTAGTGCAATGGAATTCACCCTATCCAGATGGAGTGTCAGTACCTAATTTGGAATTAACATATGACCTGCTGCTTGCGGAACGTGATGTCAAACGATACAAAGCAATTTATAGCGGACCATCGCTCTCGTGTCGGTGAGTATTCTTAAATATTGCAAATTAATTTACTTACTTTGCGTTTCTACGTACTACGTAACTCGTAGTACGTAGAAACGCACAATTTATATTAATTGTTACTGTTGTTTATTGTAATTTTTTTTGTTTCTAAACTGTAATGTTAATAGCGTTCATGTGGTTGGTTAACAGGGTGAGAGACCTGAAGCCGGGCTCCGAGTACTCGGTGTGCCTGCAGATCCGCGCCGGCGAGCTGACGGGCGCGGCGAGCGAGGCGGCCACGTTCCGCGCGCCGGCCGCGCCGCCGGACCGCGCGCCGCCCGCCCGCGTCACGCAGCGCGCGCGCGCCTCGCTGCAGCTGCGCTGGGCCGCCGCCGCCGACAACGGCGCGCGCCTGCTGCACTACGTGCTGCAGATGGACGCCGGCGACGGCTTCGCCGAGCTGGCCCGCCCGCGCACGCGCCAGCACACCGCCAACAACCTGCGCCCGCAGACGCAGTACCGCTTCCGCATCGCCGCCGTCAACGAGTGCGGCCGCGGCGAGTGGAGCGACGAGACCGTCGCCTGGACGGCGGGCTCGCCGCCGCCCGCGCCCGCGCCGCCCGCGCTGCTGTCCGCCGCGCCCGACTCGCTCGCGCTCGCCTGGCAGCGGCGCGCCGACGAGGAGTTCACCCTGCAGATGGACGACGCGGCGCGGGGCCATGGCTTCCTTCCCGTCTACTCGGGCCCCGAGCGATCCTACGCGTGCACCGGTCTGCGGCGCGCGACCGACTACCGGTTTCGCTTGCGATGCGAGACCACCGACGGCCAGGGTCCGTGGTCGACGGAGGTCACGTACCGGACGCTCCCGGAGCGACCTTCCGCGCCCGGCAGGCCCTCTCCACGCGGCAAGATTCACTCGCGCGCTTTCCGGCTCCGGTGGGACCCGCCGATGGACGATGGCGGCGCGACCGTTGCATCCTACACTCTCGAAATCGACGGCGGCGAAGGGTACCGGCCCGCGTACCAGGGCTCCGAGCGGGAGGCACATTGCGATCGTCTGCAGCCGGGCGTTCCGTACCGGGCGCGCGTGCGTTGCGCCAACGAGGCCGGCGACAGTGAGTGGTCGCCAACGGAGACGGTGACGACGGAGGCGACGTGCCCGGGCGCATGCGGCGCGCCCGAGCCGGCGGCGGCGGCCCGCGCCACGCTGCTGTCGGTGCGGTGGCGCGCGCCCGACTGCACGGGCGGCGCGCCGGTGGCCGAGTACCGCGTGGAGGTGGCTGAAGCGGAGGCGAGCGGCGCCGCGCACCTGGCGTACGCGGGCGCCGCCTGCGAGTGCATCGTGCGCGACTTGGCGCCCGGCCGCCGTTACCGCCTCTGGGTGACCGCGTGCAACCGCGTCGGCGCGGGCCCGCAGTCGCCGCCTCTCGAGTTTACGACGGCGGCCGCGCCGCCCGACGCACCATCCGTGCCCACCGCTACAGTAGAGGGACCCGCGTTGCGCGGCTCGAGTGGATCGCGCCGCGGGACAACGGAGCCTCGATCCTCGATTATCGGCTCGAGATGAGTGCGACCGACGTCGACGACGCCTTCTCGGAAGTATACCGGGGCGCCGATACCACCTGCCTCGTCTCGAAGCTGACACCGTTCTCGCCGTATTTTTTCCGGGTGTGCGCGACAAACTCCGCCGGCCGCGGCGGCTGGTCGGGCGTTCGTGACGTGTTCACGCCGCGGGCGCCTCCCGCGGCGCCGACGGGTCTGCGACACGAATCGACCGCCGACAGTCTAAGGCTATACTGGCGGACGCCCGCCTGCCACGGGGCGGAAGTGCTCAAGTATCGCGTCGAAGTCGAGGCGGATACGTACGAAACCGAGGGACCGACTCCCGAGAGGATCGTCGACGGCCTCGCGCCGAATACCGTGTATCGGGTTCGCGTCGCGGCCCTCAACGAACTCGGACTCGGGGACTGGTCCGAGGAGGCGAGGGCGGCAACTCGGCCGATGCCGCCCGCGCCCCCGCAAATCCGCTGCGCGCAAGCCGCGCACAACTACTTGAAGCTCGAGTGGAACGCGACCGGCGGCGACGGCGCGCAGTACTGCGTGGAGATGCGCGCGCCGGAGGCTCGAGAATTCCGAGCGGTGTACCGCGGGCCGGCGCGCTCGTGCAAGGTGAAGAAGCTGCGCGAGGCGACCAGCTACACGTTCAGGATACAGGCGAGCGACGAGCGCGGCGGGCGTGGCGCGTGGGCGGAGCCGAGCACCGTGGCGACCGGCGCCGCGCCGCCGCCCGCGCCGCGCCCGCCCGCCGCCCACCTCCCCGCGCCGCGCGTCGCGCTCGTGGCCTGGGACGCGCTCGACCACGCGCACTACGTGCTGCAGTGTGCGCGCGCCAAGGACGCCGTCTACAAGCAGGTACATTTTTATACTTTATTTATTTATTTTATAAGTAGTTTGTATGTCAGTAGTTATTATTCTAAGGGTCAACGTAGATTTAGTCTCGGCAAAGCCCAAGCGGTATTCAAAATGTCTAATCATAATGTACGATTATCCAAATTTCATAATGCGAATACGTTTTTTTTTATACAACTTAGAATGGCAAACAAGCTGACGTTCCACCTGATGGAAAGTGATAACCGTCGCCTATAGACATGAGCAATAACCATGGACATAACAGAGTATGCTGTTTCGCCCATGATACCCCCATGCGTTGCCATTCCTAAGGACTCAGGTGTTATTCCTCTGTATCCAGTAAATTCACGCCATATCCCACTCTTCAAACCGAAACACAGCCATGCAAACACAACTGCTTCATGGTTGAAACACGAATGGGACAGAGGTACCCAAGCAATCGACTTTTGTACAAAGTCTCTGGTAAGTCGTTCGAAATTTGTGTACTGAGCACTGTTGCGTCCGCAGGTGTATTCTGGCAGCGAGACTCAGTTCCAGCTGGAGGAGCTGGAAGCGGGCGCGGAGTACTTGCTGCGCGTGATGGCGGTGCGCGGCGGGCTGGCGAGCGCGTGGTCGGGCGCGGCGCGGCTGGCGGTGCCGGCGGGCGCGGCGGCGGGCGGCGGCGTGGCGCCGGCCGGCGCGCGGCCGCGGCGCTCGCGTGGCGGCGCGGCCGGCGCACGCTCCCTGTCGCCGCGGCAGGTGGCGCTGCTGATGGCGGGTGGCTTCCTGGTGCTGGCAGTGGTGGTGGCGGTGCTGGTGCAGCGGTTCATGGAGCCGCGGCCGTGACGCGCGCTGGTGGCGGCGCGGCCGCGCGCCCTCGCCCGCCTGTGAGCCGCCTGCGAGTTCGACGCCCGATTGGTGCTAGCCTGAGTCGAAGTCAATGACATTCGCGGCGCGCGTCGTAGCGCCGCTGTCGATTCGGTGTATAGAAAATCAGCGTAGCGCATGGAAACGACTCCCCTGTGTCCATATAATTAGTATATTTCCGCGTGAGCCGGGAATAGTGAATGTGATTTTACTGACGGAGTGTTGGCCGACTTATCTGCCTAAGTGCATTCTAATGTAATGTATTCATTCTTCGCAATTCATTGAGATCCTTACTTTGAGTGTTTTCGTGTGTACTGTTTCAAATTTTATTTTTTCTTTCATAATTCTATACCTTAGATCTTGCATAAAATTATGTCGTTTTCATTTACCGACACCGTTACGAAATCACTTGAAATCTCATAAAAAGAAAATTATTTATATGTACATATTGTGTAGATAAATATATAATCATATCGAATGTATGTAAATTGCTGCCACAGTATAATGGTTAGTAGAATGAAATCTTATTTTGTGTACCTTTTTTGATACATTAGTTAATAAAAGAAATGATGAATGATGCTCTTATAGATCTAAATATACCGTTGTGGTTGAATATTTTATTATTAAATGTATAGGATTGGCGTGTTGGTTGTGGGCTCCTTGTTATGGCCTACTAGCAATTTCATGCCACGAATGGTATTTCAATTAACTACTGTGAATGTTATATGTAAAAAAACTATGCATAAATGTGAAGTTGCCATTTCTATATATGTACATTTTACAGTGCAAGTCTTACAAATTTATCTCAATGTGTATATATATCTTTTGACTTCACAAATTTTCATAATCTAGTCTATGCCTGTGGCTTGTTATTTCGTTTGCTGTACTGGATTGTTAAAAATACTATTATTACTTTATATATATATATACATATAAATACCAGAAACGGTAAACATTTGTTTTAGTAATAATTGAAGTGTACTTCCAATATTTAATTAGTCTGCAACTGTATGTTTTCCATACTGCATATTTTTATAAAATAAATCAGTTTGTTACATGTTTTTATTCAGATTAAGTGTAAGACGTTAGTAAACAAGGTGCTCTACATTTAAAGTTTTGTTATGAGGGGCGTGGTCCCTCGCTCTGCAACGAGTTTCCAGTGTGTGTGCTGTGATCACTTCCTTATGCGAATGAGACTGATTTTACAAATAAATGCTTTGATTATAGAAATGTTCTGTAATGCTTTGACGCCTACGATGTCTGTGCTATCTGCATGTACTGCAGCAAGCGGCCACAGAGTATTGTTTAGAGACGGCTCCTGCCAGTACACGTGTGCAGCACAGACCAACCGCGATATGAATTTGAAAACAGAAACCGATTTTATTAACTCGGATCGCTTAATTAATATTATTGATGTAAAGTGTATATTACTCATACTTTATCACCGATTATTATTTCATTTTTTTTTTTATCGATAAGCATGACTTTTAATTGATGACATACCTAATGTTATGATTAGAATAATTTGTTTATAAATTTAGAAGTTAACGATTTATTGAGATTGTTACCACCCGAAATAAATATGGAGTTGTCACGGGAAATATCGCCAAAATTTAATATTTCAGAATATATTTTAAAATAAATATTGGCGTTATATTACGTTAATTACATTATTAGATAAATTAATAACCGATTTCCATATAGTAGAATAATATTATATTAAATGAATTTCGTTTTAGATTAGCAAAATATCATATGTTTTATTCATGAAGTTAGTAGTAAATTGTCATGCCGTTGTATGAGATTCCCATTTTAAACATTGATGTTTTAGTATCATGGTATCTTATTAATAACTCATTAGTTATGTGGTCTAAAAGTATTGTGGAAATATAACACTGAATATTGTTATTGGCAGGTGAAACTGGCCACATTCAATGTTCCAGTATTCAATTTGAACTCTCTGTACTAGATGCTAATGTTGTTATATGTTATTATAGACGGGACTACATTGACGCATCCAATAGTTGTCTATATTACGTAAATATATAATATTTACTTATCCTGTGATCATCTATTCTATTGTTTCAATATATTTATTAATGTTATCGGAGACATTCCTAGGGTATATGTTACTTTCTCAATTTCTATATTTTTCTTTTATCGTTATTTCTGCTTGGGACAACTGTTTATATGTGTCATTCGCTACCTGTAAGACATTATTGAAACTGTAAGCACAGCTTACTGTTGTAATAATATTTAATTTTCTAAATTTTATAATAACAATGTGCAATTAACAATTTATTTATTCTTTATGGCTTAATATATAATATTTATTTTTTAGAAGTATATAGTGTTTCTATAATTGTGTGTATCCAATAAGGGGAATTAATTGTTCCTATATGAGATTTTAGACACTATACAATACACCGATTGCTGACGAAATTGTGTACTACAGACAAGCATTCCAACTATATTCCACTTGTAAATAGGCCTAACGAATTTTACGACTTTTAAAGAATGTACATCTTGCTTTAAATATTGAAAATGTAAATAAATCATTCTTGAGCTTTGTGTAAGGAGCATGTACTGAACATGTATGACAATGGAAATTACTATGCTATGTTGAGACTAAACGTTTTTAAATTAATGAAATATATGATTAACGGGGATAACATCTCATATTGTATTTGTGTTTGAATTAAGTACGTATAACGAAATGTATATGTTTATAATATAATATTTGATGATGTTATGTATACAATTTATTAAACATGGATATATCAATAAAACTATATTTTGTGTATGATGATTGTTTAATTTATTTTAACTAAACAATTTTTTTTTTTTCATTAAAACAATACATTTATCATATAATTATTATTATAAACAAAATATGAGTTTTATCGTTGGCGGTATAATCAGTACTTAGGTACCTTAAAATTATTTAAATAGAGAAGTAAAACGTTAACAAGTACATTATTAAGACACAATTTTGGTCCGATATGAAGACTAGAAAAATCTTTGTACTATGAGTATTTTGACTACACAAGACTTGTATGAGCTCTATGAACTCATGGGCCCTGTGCCTTATGCCATTTTTTTTATAGATGATTGAAACACTTCGTATACCCTGATTGGGCATCAGCAAGTAATGATAGGTGAGGATAAGAGCAGGTCAGATAGCCCATCGTGACAAATTCATTAAGAATTAATTACGTTGGTTTTCAGGGGGGAGCCATGTAAAGTCGACCTGACAAGGTATATTGCTATATTGGGGCCACTAGCTGCCGCTATTAACAATCCCCTCTCTCCCTTCTGCCTTTGGTTTAGGTAGGAGAACCTCTTTAGAAAATTATTCTAGACCAGTATTTTCTAAAGTAGGTTTTGTGGTTGCCAAGGGTGCCGTGGAAAAATAAGAACATTTATGAGTATTTGTAATTTTTGTAACAGACTACGGAACTGATTTTAAATACATTTCTATGGTACCCATTTGTAAGTACATCCTTTCATATAAAAAAAAATCAAATCGGTTTCCAACTGATGGAGTTACGAAGTAATAAACATAAAAAAAAAATACAACCGCTTTGAGAACGTTTTTCTTTTTGAAATCGTTTGAAAATATTGAATGTTCCTTGGCCAGAAATTTAGAAACCACTGCTCTAGACTGTACTATAAAAATACATATAGCGATTATAAAAAAGCATTACATTCTATTTATTTCCTCTAATAAGGCAGTGAATTTGGAGTTTACTCTTAGGTAAAATATTTCGAACGCCGTCGAGCAGGTAGTATGGTTATATTGGGAATAGTTGGCACGATTTCACATTTTCGCTGTACACTTCTGTATAGTTGGTCACGTATATTTCGGGACTTGTTGATATGTGGTCGATGCAGCCTTTGAAATTTTGTGGGAACCACTTCTTTGCCAATTTACTATCGTCCTCTGTTATGCCACCTGTAAGTAGTTAAAAATATCCCATTTATTTATCGTTGGTAGATACAATTAGGAAAATGGTAGTTGTAGAGTGCAAAATTAATATTTCTGGACGTCCTTATTATACAGTGTCTGCTATTCACGAACAGTACAGCTTTTATAATGGGTAAAAAGATAATTCTTAGCATTCTCATATATCCCGCTGTTTTGCCTGCGTGAATCAGTTTATAAAATATCCTATGTGTTAAGTTACAATATAACCTAACTGTGTACTAAATTAATTTAAATTATTTGAGTTTGCGTGTAACACCTTAGACCACATCGTCACTTAAGATCAGATCAGCTTGTGGTCAAATGCCCTCAAATTTAATATAAAAAATAATCCGTTCAGGTGTTTAAGTGTGATTGTATAACAAACATCCCAAATCTTTACAATCTTTCATATTAATTTTTCGAAAGTTCCTTATTCGCGTCTCACGGCAGTTTAGCCATAGTATTAATTTCCATCTCTTATAAAACAGAACATTCAACAGAGCAGACAATTGGTAAACTTACCTATATATACATCAACATCACCATATTTCACATTACTGTTTAATCCTGGCTCTTCAACATAGGCCAGTGCTTGGTCAACGGTCACCAAAATGTTGTTTTTCTCCAGCCTTAAAACAAGAGTGTGCCACTCTCCGTCCGATAAGAAACCAGCTTTTGGCACCGATCTTATAACGACTTGAGACGATCCTGAATTTCGTTCTTCAATTAGTTCTTGCGTGGTGTTGTGTTGAAAACACCACACTAGCTTGAGAAAAGCTTTTTCTAAACCTATGCCCAAGTAATCGTAATCCTGTGAAGAATAATAAATAAATAAGGTAAATAAATTAGTAGATTTCAGTCAAATCGGTAGAGTTTGTCAATATTTGTCACGCTTGACAGGCAGATTGGCAACTGCAGTTAGGCCTTGGAGATGTTTTAAGAGGGTCGCTGCTGCTCATATTTCGACCATTATGTTCTTTTCTTTTTTATACAACCTATGGCGAACAAACTGACAGCCCACCTGATGTAAAGTGGTAACCGTCGCCTATAGACATGAGCAGTACCATGGACATACCAGAGTATGCTGTTTCGCCCATGATACCCCCCCATGCGTTACCATTCCTGAGGACTCAGGTGTTATTCCTTCGTACCCAGTAAATTCACGCCATATCCCACGCTTCAAACCGAAACACAGCCATGCAAATACAACTGCTTTACGGTTGAAACACGAATGGTACAGAGGTACCCAAGCAATCGACTTGTTACTACACCCACGGGAAAGGAAGGGGTGGTCTATTCTATATCGGGAGTATACGGCAGTCAAGTGTCATACGGAATATATATGTATATATATATATATATATATATATATATATATATATATATATATATATATATATATATATATATATATATATATATATATATATATATATATATATATATATATATATATATATATATATATAGAATATACTTACCATGGCTAACCACACGAGTAGTCCATTGGGTTCGGCGGTAGTAAAATTAAGAGTGAGGTAGTCAGGTCTCTGCAGCACGACGCGCTGCTGTCCGCTGTGTCTCGAAGCAGACCGCCGCCCCAAAGACATGAGCGATTCACCGTTGAACTGCGGTACCGTGATGTTTATACCTATGGGAAGTTTTTCAATTTATTAACAAGTCATCATTTGTCATCAAGTTGAGTGAGTGCTCGTTTGCCTTCTATGTTATAAAAAAAATAAAAGAAGTACTTTTTGTTTCGCAAATTAAAAACACAATCATCCTATCAAATGGTATTAAAATTATTTTCATAAAAAATGTTAGTCCGATCTCTACATGGTCCCTCCTGATAACATCGTAGTTACATTTTTCACTGCTGTGCTCCGCTTATACCAATACCGCAGGTAGGGTTGCCATTTTATTATCATTCTTTAAAGAAAAAACTTACGAGATTCACAATTAAGTCCTGCGAATCCCGCGGCGCAGATGCAAGTGCCTTTTCTACAGACGCCGGCGGGCGGCGTGCAAGTAGCGGGCGTGCATGCGGCGTGGCGGCGGCAGCGTGCAGTTGTGGCACCACCGGTGGCGCCACTAGTGCCGGTAGAGCCCGCGGGCGAGCAAGCGCAGTGCGCACGGCCCGCCTGCACGCTACAAGCGCCGCCGCCGCAGGTCTCCCCGCCGCACACCGTACCATCGCAATCCAAAACGTTACGGCCCTCTGGCGAATATTATTTTGTATAAGTGAAGAAATATGTATGTAGTTTTGCCATTAGTATGTAGAGGACTCGCCTTTGTACATTATGTTTGAAATTAGATGTTCTTAAGAATATGTTTGTATACAATAACAAATAAGGAATAAAGAAAGTAGTTCGTTTAAATTTAATTTTTTTATTCATTTCAATGAAAAGGCATTTAAATATTGTTAAAATAATCACAGTACCGCTTTTTGAATGAAATTAGTAATAACTCAAAATATTGAATCGTTAAAAAAGTTTGAATTTGACACAAAAATCCCCATTATCAAAATGATCCGCCATTTATTGAATTCATTTGTTACAAAAAATGTGATAAATGAAGAACCGCTCGACCGATTTTGTGCAAACTTCACATAAACCATCTACTTAATAGTCCGAACAAAGCCTAAACATTTGTCTTGGATAGTTGAGCCCGTTCTTGAGTTATAAAATTACAACGAAAAGTGGCATTAATTTTTATATATATAGATTATACTTTATATTTGAGATGGACCTTAATAAAAAAGTATTTACCTCGTATATTCTGTGGTTCGAGAGGCAGTAATATGTTATTGACGTGGAGATTTCTGATGCAGCCCGTAAATGATTCCGGCGGTCCAGACATTGCATCGAACGGCAACATCGATAAATCATTCGTGCCTCCTAAAAATGAATTTAATCATATTATAAGCATCATACTCACAAACAGAGTTCTCCAATGGCAAAGTAGAAATGCGTTTAATAATAATTAAGTTTAAATTTATAATAAAAAATCTTTAGCGTTTATCAACTTCATTTTCTTTTCAAACCATTCAAACGAAAGCAAAATAACTGTTTTTGTCACAACTGAAGTAAGTTTTTTTTCCGTAACACAATCTTAAATGGTGGTTCTAATATTTTTATGCAAGTTTGTGCTAAAGTAAAGATACGTTTTACCTCTAGCTGGTCTGGCAGGAAGGAGGCACCGTTTAGGTATTTATCACTTTTCATAAGATGGAGCCGTAGGCTTAGGTACATATTTAAGGCCGGGTGAACCGTGCCCACTAATACCCTCAGAACCGTTTACCATTAGACGGGCTGTATGCTTATGGTATAAAAAAAAGGTAAGTAAAGCTTAGCCAAGATATCTCTGAGAGTACATGGTACCGCACCATCGTAACGTATTAGGGTTTTGCGATAGCTAGAATCCGGAATGCAAAATTCGTTTATGGATTAGTGGCTTTGACTATTTATTACACGGTACATTCTTCAATATCACTATTGACTTAGAAGATACATTGAAACAGATCGTACCTAGATGTATAGAAGCGTTGCTAGCGGTGTGCGGGTACGCATGCGCGAGCATGGCTTCTGTGCTGAGGGCGCCGTCCACCCATACGTACAGCCGGCTTCCGTAGCGGCCCGCCTTCACGTTATGCCACTGTGACATGGACAGGACCACCCCGCTCCGCACCAGCGAGGTCATGCCTGACACACGATCTGTGGGCACACGTAAAATATTGTTATTACAGAAATTCTTTAGATGATTCAATTAATTCTAGTATATATGTACTGCGTACTTCTAGTTGCGTGAAAATAGCAAAAAATAAAGAAGTTAATGGTGACACAAGGTGAAAAATGAAGGAAGAGTTTTACCTATCCATCGATACTCCAGCAGTCCGCCCTGCATCGACAGCGTGGTGTAGAAGTGTGGTGTCTCCCCAAACAGTACCAATCCGCGTTCTTTGGATGGCTTGATCTCAGCTTCCAGTGATACACTCACGCTGGATATCGTACGTGGGTGTAAGCTGATGTACGATCTAATGCCAGTGAATAGGACGTCTGTTGGTATCAGATCTGTGTAATAGGTACATGTTGTTATAAATTAAGTGTGAGTCGTAGAAGAGAATCATTTATTTAATCAAAATAAATGTCATGGGATAAGTGCAGGTAAATGATGTTCTGCATCTAGTATTGCAATCATTCATTGCGGTCAGGCGGATCGTATGCTTGATTGTCATCCTTATTATAAACAATAGATAATGACCATGTAGAACTTATAATTTGTAATAGTGAAATAGGTTGGCAGCGAGGTAGTCCATGGTATGAGCTTATATTTTCATGGGTCTTTAAGTATCTATAAATCAGTTGCATATACCAGAAGGAGACTTTGTTCAAAAGTCGTTTACTTGGGCACCTCTGTGTCTTCGTGTTTCTACCGTGAAGCAATTGTGTTTACATGGCTGTGTTTCGGTTAAAAGGGTGGGATATGATAGTGAATTTACAGGGTACACATGAATAACATCTAAGTCCTGAGGAATAGCACCGCATGGGGGGTATCATGAACGAAACAGTATACTTTGGTATGCCCATGGTACTGCTCATGTCTATAGGCGACGGTTACCACTTTCCATCACGTGGGCCATCAGCTTGTTTGCCATTCTAAGTTGTATAAAAAAAAAACTATTCCAACAGATGAAAAAAAAATTGAAGCCTCTTGGCTGTTAGTGGACATGTTGTAGGTGTTGTCCTAAAGCTTATTTCATGCTTACCTTGATCACAATTTGTTCCAGCTTTTCCATAAGGGCAGTCACACTGGGCATCGTTATTAGTAGTTATAACGCATCTTCCTTGACATTTTGATACAAAACTATCACACGGATTTCTTTTGGACGAACAAGTAGGCCCGAACCAACCTTCGTTACAAATGCATCTAAAACAATACAGGTTTTTTTTTAATAAATATGATATTTAATGATAATAAATATGGACTACTACATTAGTCCTTAAGTCCACTGCTGAACATAGGTCTCCTTCTATTAGAATGTTTTGACAGTAGATGCCATGCTTGGCAGGCGGGTTGGCAATCGCAGTTAGGCCTTGAAAATATTTTAAGAAGGGTTGCTGTTGCTTATACCTTGACCATTTGAAATATCTTAATCCCTTCTTACAATACCCATGGGGTGGCCTATTCTATGCCGGGACCACACGGCAACCTAGGTATCTATGTAATTGGTAATCAGTGTATGTATCTATGGCAGTGTCAATTACTTTCTGTATGGATATATCGTTTTGTCAATTATAGTTTTATCCATGTTGTTAAAGTTCTATTCCATGTGTTAATGATGCTAACATTACATTAGAAACATCTTTTGAATTTATGAATATCAAACAATTAATTAGATAATAATCAATAAAAATATGCGGACTATCTAGGTAACTGTAATTACGTTCATCACAATAGCAATTAAATATCTAATGATTGATTGGAAATATTTTTGACTAATTAATCTGAGATTACAGTCATGAGCAATAAATCATCATCATTTGTCATTTATTGTCCAGTGCCTAAATAAAGACAATGTTTTTAGCAAATATTATCAATCATTGTTATATATATCTTTTATATATGTATTTTTGATGATGATATGTAAAACAGAATCTAGATATATATGTTTACTAAAACGGATACAGCCTTTGATTACTCCATTAAGAACTACAGTTTTGAATATGTATTTTATAACGTACCCATAAGTAGCAGGAGATTGTATGCAGACGCCCTTAGGTGCGTTGCAGGATTTGGCAGTGCATTGCGCGACGCCGCACTGTCCGGCGCCGCGTCCGGCGAGCGCGCGACTCGATCCAGCACCGCCGCCGGACACCGAGCCAGACACGTCCCATACGCAGCCGCGCCAGCCACTGTGCAGCGGCAGGTCGTGCGGCAGTGTTGCGAAACCCTCGGATGGATGACCACCTAGACCACCCAGTAAACTAGTCTCGGAAAGGTGCCTTTGTGCTGAGTAGGCGTGATAAATTTCTATCCATATTGATTAAATTAGTTGTTAACTGAATAAACTCTTTCTGGAAAAGATAAGGGTACTAGAAAGATACTTTGTGGTACAAATTATCCACAGTATCTTGCTATTTCATGCGTGTTTCTTCCATCAAAGTGCTTTACTTTTATACATTTTTACCTAAAACATTTGGTACAGCGACGTTGCCACAAACTATGTAAAAATGAAATTAAGCGTAATAATTTAACCCTCAAAAATAGCAACTCATATAGGCGTCACAGTATATTTAGCGATGTATATGATTTTGTTTATGTATAGGTGACTTACTACTTCCCATGGATTGTCTACTTCTTTTCGAAGTTGCATAAAGAAGCTTGCATATCTAATAAAAAATGTAGAATTTTTCGTACTTGTCGTGGATGACTTACCGATGTAGAGATACGGTAAAAGCGTCATGTGCGTGTCGGCCGCGGGCGCGTTTCCCGAGGCATTGTGACGGCCGTCGACGCTGAAGCCAGCGCTGCGGCCACGCCGCCACACGCGCACTGCGTGGCCACCGCGACGGGCCGACAGCGCGCGCGACGTAAACACGCGTCGCGGACCTGTAAACGAGCGTTTTAATATACGATTATGGTGTTGTATCGACGAATGATTGAGGCTTCTAGAAGTTTCTGTGAAGATTTTAGAGAGTTTCGACACATTTTGCTTTGACGTTTCTATGACAACCAAATGATCGAGCGGCATACGCTTGCTTTGCTACCGCACAACGTTATGTAAACATCTAGAAGAGACTTTTAAAAGTGTCTATAAAGTTTTTAGAAAGTCTGGACTCATAGGCAGCGCTGTATAACTATATAGCTACTGTTTAGATTTAACGAAGCTTCATGAGGCTTCCAAAAGATTTTACTTAAAGTTATAAGGTTTCGATCGACCGAACAGCAAAAGCTTGTAATACGAAACTTCGTAGATTGAATTAGCTTTATGAAATTTATGACTGTTTTTATAAGTTTAAACTTAGAACTATTACTCACCACTGCCCATATTCCAAGTTAGCATAATATATCCCTTAACGAAGGTCAACGCCAAATGTTGACTGCGCGAGTCGTGCCGTCCGGCTTGCCCGACGAAAGCCAATAGTGATATTTGGTCCATGTCGGTTGTATGGAAACGTAGACGCAGATCGAAGCGGTCCGAGTGTACAGCCGCTGGTGATAGTGGGTACAGGAGGTAGGATGATATCCCGGCACTGATCGGAGCTAATGACGGACGCGTTATTTCCACATCTAAAGAAAAAGTTTAATTTAGGTATCATAGATGAACCTTAATAATTCATTAACGTCCCGTTGGTGGGTACGGATCTCCCCCTATGAGAAAAAGATTAATTTATATATATTTTTTATTGCACTTGTAAAAAAGATATACAGCGATTAGTTTAACAACTCGATAACAGGATGAGCTTATCTCTGAGGGAGATATCTTCCAGACTTTCTTCCTTTTTTTATTATTTATTTAAGGGCAGCGATTACCACCATGCCAGCCAAGTTTTTCCTTTCTTTAGTAGTCTTCTGCCATCCTTCTGGTCATTGAAAGTTACGACTGACACAAGTATATTAGTTATGAGTTTTAAAGTCTATTCTCCCAAATGTCTTCAACATATATGTTTGGCTCATTCCTACTTCAGTTAAGGTCCACATACATTATGACAGTTTGTGGATGTACTTCTAATAGACAGTTCTTAATATAACCTTTTTTGTTTATATCCCTATTTTGACAGATTTTCAATTTAAATTTTCCAGAAGTGACTTCAGGCAATCGTAATTTAGAAATGGCAGGTTACACAATCATATCGACGAGGATATGTTGCCCTTTTGTAGTTCTTTTACTGACTATTATCCTTTATTTTTTAAAATATAATTATTATAACAGTTAAATTAGGAGAAACGCTCACTGTGTTCGCAGAATATTCCATGTCTCCCGTAGGGACAGAGGCAGAGGAAACCAGTGCCGGGGTGTCGCACGCAGCTGCCGCCTGCTTCGCACGGGCTGTGCTCACACACCGACTGCTTGCACTGCTCGCCCATCCATCTGCCCGACCATTCACCAAACATATGGAATACAACACCAAATTAATCCGAAAGATGGTAATGGAGTCGCCGACATTAGTGTATTTCCTATACTGTTTTCAAGAGCGTCATGGGTACATTACATTCGTAATGTATTATGTGCTGTCCATGTTGCTGTTAATATTTTTAAGAAACGGTTACCGTTTCTGATTAGGTGGGCAGTCAGCTTGTTTGCCCTTCCAAGTTGAGTAAATTAAAAATAAATTGTTACCCATTAGGACAGGAGCAGGTGTATGTGTCGCCATGATCGCTACAGGAGCCACCGTTGAGGCAAGGCGCCGACAAACACGACAGCGAACCGCACTCACTTACTTCACCAGCTAAGAACGCGTCACCGAATACTTCGCGCTCCTCACCATTTACCTATTGATATATTTTTAATGTGATCGCAGTGCAAAACAATGCACACTGTGATGATTTTATCATCAGATTCGGTAGATATATATATTTTAAACAATTTTAATATATGAAATAGTATTCATAATAATCATATTTAAACCTTGAAGTGTACAAGACCTTAAAAAATTAAAATATATTTGTCATAGGAGGTAAAAAATTTATAATCATTGTCAACATACGACGTGTAACGAAAACTGTTACATCGGATAATAAAGAAATATAAACATAAATATAAACATAAGTAAAAGATTATTGTCTTTTATTGTCCAACCCAATATTTTTCGCGTGATGATAGATAAAGAATAATTTTTACTATCCTGGATATCCTGGGAATACTTCACACAAAGTGAAGGAAGGTAGGCTTTTCACCAGTATCTGTTCACTTACATTTAAATACGTACTAAGTTAATTACCTATTGCCAGCAAATATTTTTATTTAATTACCATTAAATCCTTGATGCAACCAATAAAAGGTTTATTATTAAGATCTCTATCATCAATCGTATTACCCAGATGTAGAGTGGCATTGTGGTCAATGGAACTTATATTTGCCACTTGTCCGCCACTCATTGCAACTGTGTCGTTTAAACGAAGAGTAGCATTACAGTATTGCTCTTTTGGGTACAAATCTAGCCTGTAAAAATTAAAGCAGGTAAAAGCACAATTAATATATGCGAAGAGTTTAAAGTAAATCTCAAAGAGTATTTAAATCAATTTTAATAAAAAATACATAAAAGCTTGAAAGTTGTATTACATTAGCTGAATATTTGGGCAATAATGATTTTTAGATTGTTATATATATCCAATAAGTTATAAGGTCATCAAATTATAAAAATGCGTGATTATTGACAAGAATACAATAAAAACGTTTTTATTATATCTTAGTTTATATTATATGCTAGAATTCACCACAGATCGTGAGGAAAACAGGTAGAAATTAAGGTAGAAGCATGTAGTTTTGCAATAACTTAAACAATATTCACTGCTCACCTAGTCTCAATCTTCATAGGATAACCTTTATTAACAAACGTCTTCAATTCACTCAACAACATCGTTTGATATCCACAAGAAAATTTAAATTTTAACAATCCCGATATCATATACAGTTGCATGTAGACACCTTTAGCTATATCGACGTGCATTATTTGTCCTTCTGTTATAAGAGTCTTCGCATTGAATTCTATATCGATAGAAGTACTGTTGCGTAGTTTATGTGTTATAAATGAGTTCCCTCCGAAAGCAGCTGAAGAAATTGTTATTTTCTCTTCACAGAATCTTCCCGCATAATTAAAGTTGCAGTGACACTAGAAATTGTTAGAAAATATATTTTCATAATTATTTTGATTTTATTATATGTCATAGTGCTAAAAATTTGATGACTTTCAAAATGTTCAACAGATTAAGATCGCTCTTAAGACACAACAGTTAACAATTACTAAGTCTTTTGGATGTGTAATATTTCTGGTAGCAGAAATATAAAATTATTCTGTCGAAATTCTTATATCAACTAATAAATATCAAGATTAACTTACTCTGATACCATGTGGAGAGGTGATGCAATTTCCGTTATTATTACAGACGCTGTCAGTACACTCTGATTGTACAGTGGTATATGCATATGTTGTATTATCGGTGCCTGTCACTGGTTCCATAGATTCTGTCGTTAAAGTTACGTAGGATGTAGGAATTTCTGTACTTGGATGTTCAGTAGGAATGTCTGTAAACATTTTCTCTGTTGTTATGTCACCTTTAGGTGTAGTAGTTATCTCAGCTGTTGTTTCTTCAGCAGTTGATTTAGTAATAGGTATGGTTGACTCTGTTGTAGGTATTGTTACTTCAGTAATTTCTACAACTTGAGTTACTACAGTATCCACTTTAGTAATTTCTGTACTGGTTCCATCTACAACTTTAACTGAAGTTGTTGTTTGCTCACAACCTTCTTTACATTGCGTAGTTGTTTCTGTTTTTGAGTTATCTGATTCTATCGTTATTATACTTTGTGTTTCCGATGTTTCGGTAACTTCTTTCTCTGTCACAGGTTCCACAACTGTTGTTTTAGCTGTTTCAGTTGTTTCATCAGTTTGATCTCCTTTCGTTTTATCAGTTACTTTGGTAACACTTTCTTTAGTTGATTTTTCAGTTATTTCTGTGGAGGTGGTCATTTCAATTGTTGTAGTGGTCAAAAGTTCAGTATCTGTTGTTGTTATTGTTTTTGCTATTGTATCATTGTAAGTCGTTGAGTATGACGTAGTTATATCAGTTATGTCTTCGTGCATAGTAGTCAATAAGACAGATTGCGTAGATGCAGGCAGTGGCGTAGGACTAACATATTCACAATCATAGGAACCATCGTCTAGTATCAAACATTCGCATAAAGTTCCTGTGAGTTTTGGAGGACACGAGCATGTGAAGTTATCAACACCGTCAATGCAAGTACCTCCATTCATGCATCTAAAATTAATTAGGGTTATATTAAAAGCATAACAACTAAAAAAAATAATTTATTTTAAAATAGTAATAATACTCCGCATGATAAAGATGAATTTTTACAAGATCATGAAAAAAGTACTAAATATTATGATAATGAGATATTTGTATAGTTTTAGATTATGATTACGATTAGGTAATGATTTAATACCTTCTAAAATAAAATTTTAATACCTTGGTCCTAGCAGACACTCGTCATATTGGAGCTCACACCGTTCCCCATGATAGTCGGGTACACAGTAGCATACTCGCATGCCCTCTTCCACCACGCATAGTGCATTGTTACTGCAAGAATTTTCATCGCAGAATTCTATCTGTACTTCACAACTTTTGCCTGTGTAACCTGTATATTAATTAGATAGTTTGATACTAATTATTTGTATAAAGTATAGTATATAGAAAAAGATGAAATTTCACTAATGAATATAATTTGAAATTTAAATATTTAAATCTTTAAGAAATGTTTACCAATATAAATTTTGAGTATGTTTCATAAATGTTATCGTAGTACGAGTATACTTTGCTTAGAATGGTTGTAATATTTTGTCGAAAGTTCCAACGTTGAATATACTTGATATCTAGCTAAAAGTAAAATACTTACCAAATGTACAGGCACACATATAATCAGCATGAACATCGATACAAACTCCACCGTTCTGGCAAGGATTCGATTGGCATTCATCGATTTGTTCTTCGCAAAATCGTCCGGCCCAACCTAAAAATATACAAATCTATTTTATTATAAATTATATATGTAATATATTTAATTTTTACATATGTGAGCTACAAGTACTTAAATTAAAATTTCTGAAATTCATCATGGTGGCCTAACTTGTTTTCATTCTCATCTATCACCCATCATCTGTATCCCGTTAGCGCAATACATTTTCACATCAAAAAAAATATATATACATCTGTAGGTGCCAGACGTAGATAGCACCATAGCGGCGTGGGGTGGATATTATATAGAATTATATTTTATATAGGATTATTATATAGAAAGCATGGTTATTTTGAGTCATAAATAATATAGTATAAGTATTACTGGAGGTAATAATTATTGAATAAAAAAGTTTATAGAATTAAATAAATATAATTTTACGAGTAGTTATTATTTACCTGTCATTATCCTATAATCTATTTGCGTTCCACGTTTATTTTTTTATTAATATCTTTAATTTTGTTTTTAAAATGAATATATAGTTAATATATTTATAATTGTTTTTAACTGTTATTTTAAACTTCCTTAATTATACAACATTACCATACCTACTTGTAGAACTAAATTAGTTTGTTACTGTAAGGTTACTTATACAAATTTGTGTTTTAAATTTTATTAATTGTCTTGCTTATTTCCTATATTTTATAATGCAAATAAAGTATACATTGTTTTCTTAGTGTGAACTTTTCTTAAAATTGTTTGTATCTATCTATAATAAATTTACTACTACATATAATCTTTTAGAGGAAACAATAAAGGGTATCTATTTATCTATATATACTCATACATTCATCTCTGATTGTTATCATTTCAATATTCATATCTTTTTCAGTCTTATCATCATTTATAGAGTCCATTTATCTCTTATAAGTTTTCTTCTACATTTATGATCATTCATATTCTATTATAATTATTACAGTTATTTTATATTTCAAGTAACCAATTAGGTTAAAACCTCTGAGACCTTCGAAATCACTGTGCTCTCTTCTTGATGATATTAAAGTTAAAATAACTAAGTATGAAAATATAAATTAGAAAATACTGAAACTAGAAAAAACTATTTATATACCCATCTCACCTGGCAAACATTCGCAATAAAACTTAAAGCCAGGCCCCTCGATACACTTGGCTCCGTTGTAGCATCGGACCTCCTCGGTGGTGTTGCATACAGCCACATCCACCTCGCAGTGGTGTCCAGAGAAGCCCGGGATACAGGAGCACACGTATCCGTTGGTCATGTCGATACAAGTGCCATTGTTGAGGCACGGGTTCGATTCACATTCGTTGTAATTCGTCTCGCAGTTGTCCCCTTAAAATACATTAAATAATTTTGAATCTATTTATAGTTATTTCGAATAATCCATGTATCGCATCTTCGCAACTGTAACTAGACGATGTCTTTACAATCTAGATATTTAAGAAAAATTGATATGAAGGGTCTTCACAAGACCAGCAAAAGCCAAAACAATAATTATTAGAATTTGTTTTTGTCTGCCTGTATGTTTGTTATATCGTCACGTAAAACTACTGCACCAAATTTGATGCAGTTTTCACAGTTGTGTTTCTAAAATGTCTGTTGTATATACTTTATTGTGGTCTATTTAATTTGTTCTGAAATCCACGCGTACGAAGAAGGAGGCACCTAATATCTATACTTATGTATAATAAATCTCTAGAGAGGTCAATTTTGTACATGAAATATATTTCCAAAATAACTATCACCCCCTTAGGGAGATTAGTGATCGATACTGATGCCAAAAATGCAATCAGTAAATATTTTTGTCCGTCTGTCTGTAATAAATCGTTCGTTATAGAGACAAAAATTAATTTATTTAAATTAAATAAAACTTCAAAGTAAAAACATTATTCTTTATTTTTACTCCCATGGAGGTTATAGTATTTTTCATCGAAATAATTGGACACATATCATCTGGGCATTTCTAGTAGTGAAGGGAAATGTTGGGAAAACTGGAAACGTCTACTCCATTTTTAATATTTTAGTGTGCATATCTTTAATATTTTATATTTTTAAATGACGCTGGTATTTTTGAATATAAATGAGATTTGAAGTTCATTAGACATTCTAACTTTAATGGATGCCCCCTTGCAGTATTTACACAAAGAAATTGACTAACAGACAGAATATATATTTGTTTTGGCTATTATTTAAAAATCCTCCAAATCGCATTTTCGTTTCTTACTTTTTATCTTAATGCATGAATATCTCTTCAATATCTACTTATTGATTTTATTATTGAATTATGTCTCACCAATAAATCCATCGGGACAGGAGCAATTATATGAGGCTATGCCGTCGATACACGTGCCTCCATTCTGACAGGGGGACGACCAGCACTCATCCCAATTCGTTTGGCACTGCACCCCAGTATATCCATCCACACAATAACATGAGTATGTACTGTAATATATATGATGGAATTTATGTTTCTTTACTAAATGAACATTTAAATATTGATAGTAAAAAAAAAAAAACAAATTATGTAACGGAACTGTTTCATTTATTATCATAATATAAGATTTCATTAATGCTCTACTGATGGGCACATATCGTTTCTCATACGACGAGGACTTTACTGCACTTAACTAAGATTTTATAACATTTCGGGTTTGAATAGTAATTATGTAGGTGTTCTTACTTAGTCATCAAAGAGACGTTTACCTCCTACACTTTTTTTTAATTATTGTCATCTTTTGCTTTTTTTTTATACAACTTAGAATGGCAAACAAGTTGACGGCTCACCTGATGAAAAGTGGTAACCGTCGCCTATAGACATGAGCAGTACCATGGACATAACAGAGTACACTGTTTCGCTTATGACACCCCCCATGCGTTGCCATTCCTGAGGACTCGGGTGTTATTCCTCTGTACTCAGTAAATTCACGCCATATCCCACCCTTCACACAGAAACACAGCCATGCAAATACAACTGCTTCATGGTAGAAACACGAATGGGACTTTTCAACTTAATAGATATGGGCTATCAAGAAATTCGTATAAAATCGATACACAAAGTCAATCAAATTGAAACCCTTTTGAAAATGGTCAAAAGCAGCCAAGAGAATGTAGGACACATATTGAAGCTGACAATAATCTGATTTTATTCATCGATTCTTTCTATTAAATATGTCCATTTGTCGTATTTCGATGACCTCAATCATAAATCGAGTATGACATAGTTTTATTGAGAAATACTAGACCAATAAATTACTTACTTTATCAAACACGTACAGGTACATTTTTGTGTCTATTAGAACGTATTTTTCAAACGACTTCAATATGTAGGGTATTCTTAATTTTTCTTGAATCTTACCAGTATAGAGACAAGGTAGAGTAAAAGTTAGGCGGTAAACTAATGAATTAACTTCATCATATTCTCACTGCGAATTTTCATTGGGTGGATTTTTCCGTGATAAATTTAATTTTTTTCGTGTTTTTTTTTTATACAACTTAGAATGGCAAACAAGCTGACGGCCCACCTGATGGAAAGTGGTAACTGTCGCCTATAGACATGAGCAGTACCATGGACATAAAAGAGTATACTGTTTCGCCCATGATACCCCCCATGCGTTGCCATTCCTGAGGACTCAGATGTTATTCCTCTGTACTCTGTAAATTCACGCCATATCTCACCCTTTAAATCGAAACACAGCCATGCAAACACAACTGCTTCACGGTAGAAACACGAATGTGACAGAGGTACCTAAACAATCGACAGAATTTTGCGAAAAATATATGTTCTGTTGATGACTAAGCTGTACGTATGTATGCCTTTTTCTAGTCTGTATACACAGATACTCTTATCTCTTACATTCTAATGAATACACTAACCTGTTGATGTCGTCAATACAAATGCCATGTAAGCAAGGGTTACTAAGACATGAGATTCCAGCAGATACCACTTTCAGTGCTGCTAGCATCCACCAAATTGCGCGCACAACGCCACCCTGTTCGCTAAACATATTATCTAGCTAGATGTCTAGCTCTGCAGCCGAGGTTAGCCCATAAACAGCAACATGGTCTAAAAGATGCATAGAATTTTGTTATTATAAAATAGGCACTTGCTGTGCTGGCCCTTCCTTCGCATATATAACCCAATTGTTACTCGTACATTAACTTTGACCAGCATTTTAATATTTTTTTCATTTTGTACACCATACTAACATATGTACTATCAAATATGAAATACTAAACAAGAAATACTAACAAGCATATCTGAAGATAAACCAACAAACACACAAAGAGTGCAAAAAATTACAATACATAAACTCACATTTTCGATTCAGTATTCGCACGTACGAGTACATGCATCCTGAATCAAACTAAATAGGAACCCATTAGCTATATTTTCAGAAATATTTAATGTAAGCACAGTTTTGGCTTCTTTACGATTAGGGTTCCGCACAAAAAAGGTACAAAGAGCCCTTTAGGTGCGACTTTGTCCGTCCATCCGTCTATCACAGCGTTATATCTCAGCATCTACTAATGCTATCAATTTAAAATGTGGAATAGTTTTATATATTATCGACCCGAATATATTGTAATAGAAATAATGAAAATAATATTTATCTATGCTAAGAATAAGTCCAGGTGGGGTATTTTAAATCTGATTTTCATTTATTTTTATGCTACAAAGTTTTTTTAGTTATAATCAAAAATATGAGAATAAATCCATTTCTCCGAAGTTTCTGAAGCGAAAAATCTGATATAATTACGTTTTATAAAGGTATATGTGAATATTACAGGAAAAATAAAACGATGCTTGTAATTAGTACCGTTTTTGAGAAATTCTAAAACTCTTAAAAATAAACTTAGTTATTGCATCCAGTTTTTAACTAAAATGATGTTCACAATATTATATTATAAATTGTAGTATCAATAATAATAACTATGAGATGTGTAGTAGAAATCTAATAAAGGAAATTTTTATGTATTTATATACGGAACCTTTGGCGTGTGAGTTCAACTCGCACCTAACCGGGTTGTAAAGACTAATCGAAACTCGCGTGCCTCTCATGGTTCAATTGTATTTGTTCATTTTTTAAAGATGTCATGGCCTAGTGGCCTATACCATCTGAGTTATAAATTATAAGGGTAAACAAATCGAATCTGGCTGGCACCAAAAACTTTGCGTGTCAACGTTCACACTAGGGGGGGGGGGGGAAGGATCCTTAGTAATAAGGACTAATGGGCCCATTGCTAGCAAGCCTGTCAGACTGAAACCATTGTGACTAATACTTGTTCCATTCGTCACGATGGGCTAACAGAGCCTCTAGACAAATGACAAACGAATTCGTCGATGGATCTTTATATGTAATCTTTGTCAGATCCGTCAGTATTCTACGACTATGACGATATTTGGGGTACAGGTTCGAGTTCTTGAAGATTAATTTTATTAATCTATTTTATTAATTTTTCATCTTTAATATGTGACTACGCTATTAAGTTATTATGGTCCAATTTCATATAGTCAATGGGTTTTTAACAACTCTAATGTTATCTAAATCTAATTCTGATTACTGAAATAATAAATGAAATAAATGAATGACATAAAAACGTTCAACAACATTGAAGAAGCAGGATGTCACTTGTTAGCATATTGCATAAACAGAAATTATAATACAAATATCCTAATAACTAGGATATTAGGTATAAGATATTTAGTACTATCAATTTAAATATAGGCAACAATAATAGGAGGATATGCTACTACCACGATGGCTGGATATAGATATGGTTTTATTTCGAGTTTTATTGGTATCTTTTAAGTTACATAAAAATGTTTTATTCTTTGTTTCCTTATTATTAAATCCTAGGGATAATAAAAAGTAGCGTAATATCCGTTATATTCTTAATATGTAAACCACACAAAAAAAAAATACTGACTTCATTCTAAATATTTACGATTATTAAACATGCATAATTTTTTTTATATTTTTTTTAAATTTTAGAGTAAGTGAATTTGAAACTTTATTAAAAAAAATGAGAGAACAAAAAAATCTGCAGTTTTATGTAGGTAAAATAACCGTTTTATTATTTAATATTTTAAGTTTCTTTTAGGTTTTAGATAATATTACAAAACATATACATATTATATATGTATATACAATTTAATTATTATGCTAATTAGGGCTAGGTAGACCGCGACGCGCGTAATTTAAAATAATGAATCTGGCGCAGATTTTTATCTTATTCATAGATCACAAAAAGATATTAACAAATATAGAAATGTAAAAGTCTAAACTTACCTTAAAAGTAAACACTCACTTATACTACCACTAGATTATAAAATTACAAAGGTAAAGGCAACTCAGTACGGTAAAGCACAGTGGAACGAAATATAGGTCTCGTGGGCGCGGTGTGGTTACTGCCGCCGTTACCATGGTGACTCGCGATGTTTGCTGCTTCAGAGCGTTAAATTATTGACAAAATTCTCACACCGTGACATAATCCAACAAAGCACCTACTGGCATGACATGGTTTAAACAGATAGGAACTAAATTGTAATGTTTAGTTGGTACATAGACATCAACTATTTTTACAACAGTAACTAGGTACCCGATTTAAATTGTCTGTCGTTGTTTCACCCTCCGATCGTGTGAAATGTATGGAGTTGTAATCATACAATTATTTAGTTTTTTTAAGAAAAATTAGATGAAATTAGAATTGCAATTCTGATTGTACGGTCAAGTATTATATTTCCTGTGCTACGGTGGATCGATTATGTGGAAAGAATATCAGATTAAAGGTTTACAATTTGAAAGGATGGATAAACTACTATGGTCAGATGTGGGGCTGGGGGGGGGGTTGAGGGATTGTTAGTAATACAGGCATTGTTAGCAATATACCCTGTCAGGTTGACCTCCACTTGGCCCCCCCCTAGAAACCATTGTGCTGAATTCCAGATGCATTTATCACACCATCTTGATGAATGAGACATAGCTATAGATAAAAAAAAACCTAAAATAATAAATATTTTAATTATTTAGCTATTGCAATCACCTCGTTAGCCTTAAATAGGAGGTATAGACAAAGATGTTTGTTGGATGCGATATTCGTCCAGCGATGGTTACATGCTAATCCATGATTTCCAACTTATTTCCTATGTATCCGCGTCCTTCATGTTTGTTGCTAACAGGTAATCTCTTTCATAAACACAAGGTATATTTTGAAGGAAGTAAAATTCAAAATTATGTGTAAATAGCCTTACGATTAGGAAATGTATAGAATAGATTAGAAAATATCTTTACAACATCTTCTTAGTCGTATTTATTTATGATTCAATAGATGGAGTTAAGAATTTTATTTGCTAAGAAAAAGTCCCCTAAGAAATTCCTTTGTTACTCTTTTCACATAAGTTTGTTAGGGTACAATAGTACACAGAGGACAGGTTCACCCCTTATCACTTTGGATCGTTCAATAATATTCGGCGAAATGTCAACATGTCGAGTGTTAGTTCACTACAACAGTAACAGTCAGCAAATGCTTTTTACTACTCCATCTGAAATTACAGTTGTGTATATAATTATTTACTAGATGTTTTCAATGACTTTGACTGCGTGAATCAGGATGAAAAGTATTTTATGTATTATGATAACTAAGCATGTACTAAATTCCATTCAAATCTTTGCAGTTGTCTTTATAATGTTAGTAGTAAACCTAAACACTACAAGTTGCACTTGTACATGAACTTATCAAAATTGTCTTTAACTATATTAGTCGGGAGCCCAATAATCTGGTTGCCACACTGCAACGTAATATATCTGGACAATACTTTTTACATAGACTTTTTTTAGATATTTGAGATAGGTATTTAAAGTTACTTATCACAGAAAAAAAGGTTTAAGTATCATAACTGTTAATGAAGACTTAATCGACCTTTTATCATAATTGATATTATAGCGGCTCACTTAATTTAGTATAGGTATAATAATAAACTATAAATAACGCCAGCAACAAATCATGGATGTATACATTTTCAGGTTATTCAACAAAAATGAGGTGTCTGGTGAGTGTAAAAATTAATATAATAAAAATCGAAAAATACTATTATTTTCTATTACTAGCGAACCACACTGGCTTTGGACGCTACGTGTTTTGGAAAATAAATTATAGCCCATATTACTCTACCATTTAATCTAGTTCTCTAAACGTGAAAGAATTTTTCAAAACTGTCAACAATTTTTTTAAGTTTATCTATTACAAACAAGAAAAATCTTTTTTTTTTCATAATGTTATTTCAGACTAGTCTCATTAGGTACAACAGTAATGTACTTGCGATTTTGTATTACAGGTTATGTTGGCCTGGATCCTGGTGGCTGTTCAAGCTGTACCAGTAAAAGAACATACAGAAAAAATCGAATTAGTACCTGAGAAATACGAAGAACATGCAGTTGACAAAATGCAACCAGTAGAAGAACACTCGGTTGATGAAGAGCAACCAGTAGAGGAACATTCGGTTGATGAAGAGCAACCAGTAGAGGAACATTCTGTTGACGAAGAACAACCAGCATCAGACTCGAAAGAAGAGCGACATACCGAAAATAAAACAATAAAACTAAATAAAAATAAGACAATAAAACCTAACCGAGATCCTGAACAATCTGATTCTGACACCGTGGGGTTCATTGTTGTACTCAAAGATGAAACTCACACTAAACCACGTGCAGATTTTAATCATCATCTACGACAGTTAAGGTACCGGCTTAGTGATATTATTGAAAACTTGGATTCATTGATATTTGAAGATATGGAGGAAGAATATGAAGATGAAAAAGAAATCTACGAAAAGGAATACGAGGAAATGGATTGAATAGAAATAAAGTAAAAAATGTCAAGGCATGTTGTCGTATTCCTTTCAGTGATTCCTTCCTTTCAGAAACTGAACTGTTTTTGATTAATTATTTGTTACTTTAATTATTTACTTAATTACCAACAACAGTGTACGCACCTATATTCAATAAATTTTTTAGATATACGTATTTATATTTAATTAATACATTTTCCATTATTGTTAAAATCTATAGTATTTATAACTTGTGATTACCTATGGTATACCTGATAGAGTATATTCAGAGCAATGCGGACTATCTTCCCCATTACCAATATCCATTTTTTTTAATGGGTTAAAATGGGATGGTAAGACCGCCTGTGATATCGGTATATGCTGGCGGATAGGTGAGGATGAAAGCAGGTCAGTCGGCCCATTGTGAAAAATTCAATAAAAAATTACCCCCCGCACTGATGACTTTCAGTCATCATCTATATACATGAACAGTATTATGGACATCATAGTGTGAGAGAAGTTAAGTGATGATGATAGCAGGTCAATTAGCCCATTGATAAATTTATCAACAATTAACCACCATAGATATTTAAAGGTGGATCGTGTGAAGGCCAAACTTATAACGATTAGCTAACTAACAATGATTGCTAGCAAACCTTTATCAAGTCTATTTGTGATAAAATTATCCTATTTTTTCGAAATGGAATAAATAATACAAATTTAGAACATGACATTAAAAACGGTTAAACGGTTTTGGAAATTAGCGTGAATGAAAATAGTGAAACATGGCATGGAGTACGAAAAACGTGTCAAAATTTAGTGAGTTAATTTGAAGTTTGGCTGATAAAATTTTTAGTATATTAAATATAGTAAAATATATTTAAATATACATTATAGTAAATCTATTTAAGCACACGTGGATAAAAAGTTGACCTGATTTTGGTGAAGGGTTTGTATAGAAACATAAAGGAGATACTATTTATATCTTAGATTATAAAGTATTATGTTATACTAAATCTATGATCTAAATAATCTAAGATTTTATATTTTAACTTTCGATTATAATAATAAGTTTATTTAAGATAAAGATACGACATCTGTAGAATTTTTTTTCTTTTCTTATGGCACGGCACAAAGTGCATCCGCCAAAAACAAAGTTTGGGAAACAGCATTTTAGGGAAGGAGTTTTGGACGAAGGAATTTAGGATAAGGATCAGAAAAGTTGAATGATGGATAATATAAGGAAAAGGACAGATATCTAAATAGAAATTACAATATATTTAACCTTAAAAATATATATGTATATGAAAAGTACATAAAATAAGATAAATCTGTAGAATTTAAGATTGGAAATGAATGAATAGGCTTAGATTATAGACATAGATACTTGTTCACTTTTTATACCTGTCAATATATAATGTCATGATCATATAGTAGTAGGTAAAAACTGCTAATGAATAAATAATTAACATAGGCGGGAAAATAAGTTTTTTAACTTTTTTATTTTTCCCGCCCATTTTATTTGTCAATATATTTTATTATCTGTCATTTATGACCAATCAGTTTCTCGGTGCGTTTTGAAGGTAAAAATAGTAAGAGATTACTGTCGATAACTAAAAACATCTTTGTCTACTGTATCTACTAGATATTATTATGTGAATTAAATATTATGAATTTAATACGAAAACTTACTTCTTATATACGTCTGCTTAGTATAATTAATTATTTTTGACATTATTCTGATTGTTCAATTAAAAACCTTTGTTTCCTTTCAAACTTTCAAACGTCTCACAAGAAGGATAGGACTGTCTTCTATCTCTTTCGTTTGGGTGAGATCGACGATGACGGAGCGAGTATAGAAAATAGAAAGATTCTGATTGAATTGTGAAAGGTGGGACATATGTACTCATTTATTAGTTTCTTTCTGTCATAAAAAAGGTTCTAATTTTGTAAGAATATCAGTTACCTATTAACGAAATAATTTCACACATCATATTTATATAATATTTATTGAAAATACAGCAAAAATTTATATTTGAAATGGATCCAGGTATTCTTTGTTTCCACCATTGTGACCACAAAGTGTTTTGTACTATTATCCCAGAACAATGTCCAGTGTGCACACAGAAACTCGACAGATATGATTACAACTTATTACCGTTCAGGTAAACCAAATTTCTGATATATCCTCACTCATTTTTAAATATAAGAGATAATGTTGCTAAGCGCTCTATTTCTATCACAGAGTCCCCTATCCTTTCGTGAAAGCATCTCAACATCCCAGAGCTATAGTTATGAAACCTACTCATGGAGATTTTCTTAAGTAAGTACCTAACTTTAATGACAAATTTTGTTTGTCAATAATTATATACCTATGTATTATTTTTTTATAACATTTATTTTCGGGTTCTTAATGTTATATTATTTGCATTTCAGTGATTATTATAATTCTAAAGATCTACACATAGGAGTGACTAACTCACTTGGAAATGTAGTAGAGTTTAGTGAAGAAGGTATTCGAGGTGTAGACACTCTTACAAAGAAATGGAGTACTCGAAACATGGGTGCTGAATGGGACCAGTGTTTATTATTGGAACAGTTTGATGAGTTATGGAATGAGATATGGGACAGTGTATTGTTGAAGGTTATTTTACTTATTTGCTTCAAGTATTTTACTGAAACTAATTTAAGTAAATATTCTTAGAATATTCTTATTCATATTGTAATTGTTGAACATGTGATGTGGCAACACCTACATATAATGTGTAAAGTGAGAAACTAAGAAGTTAACAAATTCTTATCCTACTGCACTGAAATGTTAGTGGATACACTTTGGAGTAGTTAATGTTTCTATATATTAATCGGGCAAATCCAAAATTTAGATAATCTATATTGCTTTATTTTCAAGTAATTCTTTTGACTTCATCATGCAATCAGAACTTCTGATTATGATTGGATGTGTTGGGAATATCCTCTTCATTTGTAATGTAGCTAAATCAGAACTACTGGGTTTAAGGATTCTGTGCCTCTTGATAAACATTTAATAACAATATTTATCTAATATGTAATATATATTATTCACAAAAATATTAGTAAATTACCAGGTATTAAGTGTGGTATTGAAATTGAAAAATAAATAATATAATTTTGTTCTTAAATTTGAACAGGTGAGCCTTAGTCCACTTTGGGAGGCTAATAGATACAACGAAGACAGGCACAACTGTTTCACATTTGTGTTAGCATTCCTACGAGCACTGGACTGTGGAGAACTCTCTGAAAAAGCCCAAGATCCAAAGCAATTTTGTAAACAATATGTTGTGCCAAGAACATCAGCCGCTGGTAAATATATATCTCTCTATAGGCAATTAAAGAGACAATGTTTCTTCATACAAAACCAATGATAGCCTACTTATTATTATGTAGGGCTATTTATTTATTACTTATACAGTATTAACTGTGATTTTTAAATATTTAAGTATTATAAGATTCTTAAATTGATGTGCATTTAATTAGACCAAATTATAATTTAGTTTTGAATACTGAACTAGTTATTTTGTCATCTATCTAATAGATTAATTTGTGATCTGCTTTTTTATTTATTTAATTTAGTGTTACCCTGTGATCTGTTTTTAAAATAAAAGGAATTGAATTACTGTTTTGTTATCAAACTGTAAAATATTTGAATAGGTTTCTTCTAAATTAATAATTACAGGGATTATGTTAAAATGTTTATATAGGTATTTTGTTACAGTTGTGTCCAGATAGGTAAAATACCTATCTGGACACAAAATTTTAACAACATTTTAGGTAAGTGTTTTATATAACACTCAATTCTGAATTTATTTAATTCTGAAGTCTTTTATTTTATTATGTACATATAATTTAACTTTCTTGCCTGGAATTGTAATAATAATGTCAAAAACATTGTGACCAATTTTGACATTAATTAGAATAGACAATTTTGATAATGGAGAAAATCTCTAAAATGTGAAATAGTAATTGTGGGTGTTAAGTTTAAATTAAGTAATGACTTAAACTTAACACAGATTTTTTTATTAATAATTATTAATAAAAAAAATCCTCCAATTTCGTAATGATTACTTTGAAGGAAGTGGATACTATTTAGATGATACCACTTAAATAGTTGATATTATAATGTTGTGATTATTTTACTTGTATTTTATAAACACAAGTAAAAGTAATGGCCATAAATAAAGAATAAATGTAAAGATGCTGTCAATTAAATGTTTCCAATTGCATGAATTATTAAATAATTTTCCTTGCTATATTTAACATTTAACAAAACATACCTATTTAACAAAAATATTGATGTAATAATTTAATAATGTATTAAAAAGAGGCTCTATTATATATTTTTATTTACTAGACAAGTGTTCATTTTTTGTATTTTTTTTTTATTTTTTGCTAGATTATGTAATCGAACATCTTCCATAGTCACAATATTTCTATATTGATGATATTGTAGGTTAAAAAATGTAAAATGCTAAGTATCTTACATATCTTATTCTACATTATATAATGTTATTTATTAAAAATGTAAGATTTTTATTGGGATAAACCAAAATAGTGGGTGTCAGTATAAAGTGTCAAGGAATGGGTCACTATTATGGATAAAGAATGATTGGTGTATATTTGTCCAAGTTATTTCTTTCTTATATTATATTATATTCGATAAATTATTCTATATCTAATAAGAAAATTATGGTATAATTAAATTTACGTTTGAAATGAGGGTAGTAGAGTTCATATCAGTCACAAGTGTGTTACATAAATATAATATAAATTTATAGTCTAGCAGAATCTTTGTAACTGCTTGTACTGTAGTGTATGATTTCACAAACCCCCTTTCGTAACTTACAATGTATTCAATAACTATATATGAAAGAATAGGAAATATCTTTTTTATTTATATATTTTTAATTTAAAAGTCAATATTCAAAAACGATTTATTTCCAAGAAATAAAAATACTATAATGGTCAAAATTATTAGAAGTAATCATTTATCTTAATTTTGTTTTTTATTTAATTTTTTTAATAAATGTTTTATCATTGCCAAAAAACAATATATTTAGATAAATAATTAATATATTATAATAACATGGTTGTAACACTTTAGCTATTTAATGAGTTACGACACTAAAAAGGTTGAGAAATTATGTTTTTATAACCTTATGTAATATGCTTGTTCCTTGGTGCTTTATATGTGCTAAAGTCTCTGAACCCCGTTACTTTCCTCTAGGGGTCGCTACTCATACTTTGGAAAACACTGTCTTATTTATACAAAGGTATTTAAACTTGTATATTTCGTGCACCATATTATTATAACTTTTTAAATTTTATATACTATAGATTATATTTATTCCATAGATGAAATAGATGTCTAGGTTTTTAGTTATTGAAGTTGCTGTTCTTGCGCATAATTATATGTTAATATAAACCCCATTGGAATTATCTATCGTTATAGGGTGCTCATTGGCTTATGAAATTGTCATTATAATAGTTATGCAAATGTTTGTACTATGGTGTTGTAATGCATTTATTGAATGTGCTTAGGGTCTCGGAAGTATTGGGCAAAAAATGCCTTAAATAATCTGGTAGGTCCCCTGGATTTATTATTAAATTTACTTAAAGTACACTGATAACTGATTTTGTAAAATGTCAAACTGAATTTCAGTTATTTTTGTGCACATTTTTTCAATTGATCTCAAAAAGAAAAATTGTGTACGTCATAACTCTGATAGTTAGAAACCAATTTGGATTTTTTTATCTGAATAGACATATTTACATATTGGTCTCATCAAAATTTTATCAAAATCGGCTCAGTAGTTTAGAAATCAAAATAACCGGTTTTGTAATTATTGTAATCAGTAATTATTGAATATTGGTTTTAACATAGAATATATTATTTTTGTGTAACACATTCCACTTGTAATGTGATATTGAAATATTGAATAAGCAGTTTTTAAAACTCAGTGAGTGTAATTTTTCTTTTGGGGATCGAATATAACATTAGTGCATCCAGAACATCCGAGATCTTATATAGAAAGTGTTTAATTGTTAAATGGATGCCCACATTATATTTAAAAGAGCATATTCAGAGAGTTGTGATGTTTAACGTACTTTAGAATATCTGTGCATATCTGAGTAGTTAGTGTGCGTCTTGTTTTATACACTATTCCCAATATAAATAGTCGACGTAAACACTGAGTATAACGTCAATCTTTATACGACTCGCACTATATTCCCTTAACTACTTACGCCTCTGAACTATTATCGTTTTAAAATAATGATAACACCTCTTTGAATACTGTCCAACCGTATCTGTAATGGAGTTTGAATAAAACAATTGTATTTATGAAATATCATACTCTAATTATTAATACGGACTTTAGTTCCTATAAGTCTATCTATGTATGTAATATGTATTGAGACTTGAACATTTTGTAAACGGATCTCGAAAATAAATCTCTAGGTGCTATGTTTTAATAAACTATTTGTTAAAATTTAAGCATTCTTTTATTTATTGCTTATGTAAATTTCATGAGGACGACCTTGGTTATGCAGTGAGGTTCGACACTCTGTCTTAACTTCCAATGGGTGCAGATACGATTCTCACACAATACAAACACTTGTATTAATAAATATATCTTTGTTATATATCTATTTATTAGGCTGTTATATATTAATAATACGTCATACGGGGAAATACCCTATATACTTGCCTCTTTATTCATAAAAACTAAAACGTACTACAAATCTATTTTAAGTATTAGAGTACTTTCCACTGTTTGTCAAATTAAGAAATTAGCGCAAACACTTCAATAGCTAAAATGGGTTTATAAAAGGTTTGACGTTTTTATGAATAAGGGTGTTAAACCCTTTACTGCTGACACTTCATGATGGTAAAATGTGTGAAAAGTTACCATGGGGGATTTTGTACAATATTTGTCTGCATAGGTATTTCTGTACAACTCGTGTTTTTGCCTTAGAATAGTTATAATATTACTGTTTTGGTTGAAAAGAGATATGACAAAAAACGGAGTGTACTTGTAGAACAGTGTATGGAGGCATAAGTAGGTAATATCCTAGATCTTATTATCATTTACCATTAGGGGAGATAAGATCAAGTGCAAAACCATCTTGTAAAAAAGGTCCTCAGGAAATTAATGAGTGAGTGAAAAAACCAGTGATGTTCATGGTACTGTTCGTGTCATTAACATTAGGTTTGCCTAGTTTTTTTTTTAATAATTAAATTAAAAATAAATGAAAAAAAATATTGATATTGTAGATTTATATTTATATTTATTAATATCAATGAAGAAAATAAAAAGACATTAATAATATAAATGCAAAGATAAAACATGGAGTAGAATATATAAAATTAATACCTATCTACATCTGTAGGTACAAAACGAAAACTGGAAACAATATATTTATATATACTTTAATACCTTTATATAATTTTATTATGACACATTTTATTAAAAAAAAATATATATAAATTAGTTTGTCACTTTGACTGGAGCTGATTCAACACCGACCCAGAACACAGCACCGTTGTATGCGATGGTGGCTCTGGAAATATAAAAAAGAATAACCGTTAGATAGTTTACTTTGTTTAAAAAAAAAATAGAATTCTCCACATTTTGATAGTATTATATTTCCTGCATATTTTTTATTTTCACCACAAAAAACAAATATACAGGGGTTTGTCCGCATTTTTTCACTAAAAGAATACCCATATCGGCTATCTATCGTGGTGTCAATGCAAGTGCTGCGTCTATTATGCTGCACATAGGCATCTGCTACAGGGGAGGTTTTGTCAGTAGTTGCGCTTAGCAGGCAGGTTGGCAACCGCAGTTAGGCTTTGGTAATGTTTTAAGAAAGACGGTGCTGCCCATCCCTCGATAATTAAGTTCGTTTAGTCGTTTCTTACGACACCCATTGGAAAGAAAGCGGTGGCTCATTCTATGCCAGAATCATTGGCCCTTTGTTATACAAGACCGGTATAATACAAAGTATCTACCGGTTGGTCAAAAAATAGTTTATATACTTTGTATGTTGCACAACATTTTTACCTGTGAACCGATTTCATTACTATTTTTAATTAGAGCTGTTTACTTTACGGGCCCATATTAATTTTATTATATATTCCAGGTGTAGAGACATTTGGAATTTTATAATTAGTAGCTATCTATATATTGTAGCCCATATATACATAATACGAGTATATAATTTTATTTAGTTACTATATCGAATTAACTGTACCTATAAGTATTTTAAACTAGCGAATCAATCCGGCTTTGCATGGTTTTTTGAAAATAAGATACAGTCTATATATTGGCTGATAATTTTTTTTTTATACAACTTAGCATGGCAAACAGGCTGACGGCCCACCTGATGAAAAGTGGTAACCGTCGCCTATAGACATAAGCAGTACCATGGACATAAGAGAGTATACTGTTTCGCCCAAGATACCCCCCATGCGTTGCCATTCCTGAGGACTCAGGTGTTATTCCTCTGTACCCTGTAAATTCACGCCATATCCCACCCTTCAAACCGAAACACAGCCATGCAACAGAACTGCTTTACGGTTGAAACACGAATGGGACTTTTGTACAAAGTCTCCCTCTGGTAAGTTGATGTCTTTACGTGAAAGAACTTTTATTCGTAACATTATTCAAGTAGTGTTTTATAAAAATCAAAATTTTCTTTTTATATATTTTAGTAAAATAATATTATATATTTTATATTAGTAGGATTCATTAAAATACCTGAATTTGATCTCGTCATTAAGATCAGCTGGGGGAGTCCACTTGAAGGCAACGGTTTGCTTGTCTAAGCTCTCGTCATGTTTCTTGTGAGTCACAGCGTTCTGAAATTAGTATCATCAAAATGTTAATGATGAATTTAATGGATAATATTCTTAACTAGCGACTTGTCCCGGATTTGCATGGGTAGCTGTCTAATCATTTTGAAAATAAAATATAACCCATCTTATCTCGCTAATAATGTAGCTTTGTAATAGGTGAAAGAATTTTTAAAACTAGAGATTTTAGATTTAGCCGTTGATTTTTGTGGAGCACAATGTTAATAAATCGTGCTCCACAAATATCAACAAAACAAATATTTAAAGTTAAATAAATAAATAAATTCTATCGCTTAACATTTCATCGAAATTTAAAGCAGTAGTTACGTAGTGTAAAATGAGATAGATTTTATTTAAAAAGAGACAATGGAACTTGGAAAGAGAGAGTAACTTCGTCTGCGCTACTGGTATATGCTGGCGGAGCATCTGTAAGAGATGATATGGGAGAATGAAAGCAATTCAGTTGGTCAGTTAACGAATATAACAAGAATTAACCATGATGGTTTAAAGACAATGGGGTTATTAGCGTGGAGGTCAACCTAATACTTTTTTTTATATAACTTAGAATGGCAAACAAGCTGACGGCCCACCTGATGGAAAGTGGTAACCGTCGCCTATAGACATAAGCAGTACCATGGACATAACAAAGTATACTGTTTCGCTAAGGACTCAGGTGTTATTCCTCTGTACCCTGTAGATTCACGCCATATCCCACCCTTCAAACCGAAATACAGCCATGCAAACACAACTGCTTCACGCTTGAAACACGAATGGGACAGACGACTTTTGTTTGGGTTCCTCTGTACTATCAGGAGGGAAGGGATTGTTAGTAATGCGAACTACCAGTCCTGTTGCATATACCTTGTCAGGTCGATCTTTACGTGATCCCCCTTGGAAAATATTGCGTTGAATTTCTGGTGTATTCATCACGATGGGCTGACTGACCTGCCTTTTCACCCCTCACTGGTGCCCCGCGAGCGTATACCGTTAGTGCAGGTCCTATTCCATTATCATCCATTAAAAAAACAATCCCTTTTTCCATAATATAAAGTAAGTACCGTAATATAGCAAGAGAATATCTTATATGTGGGTAGGCACATCGATTTTGAGAAACGGCGCGCGCAGTTGTTTCTATGGCAAAGAGGTAAGAATCCAAAATGCTACAACAATGCTTATCTTTTCTTATTTAAATTTAAATAAGCTTTTACCCGTAATTTATAACCCGTTAAGGCACTGTAACGTAACAAATTAACGAAGTTCCTTTCGCATTTATAACTAACATACTAATAGTAAAGATTATGCCACTGCATATAATGATAATTCTTTTCTGCGTTTTTGGCCGCGTGAATCACTATATAAAGCGATCCTGTATTTCATTGAAATTCCTTTAGCTGTTAAGAGTGATTGAGTAATTAACATACAAACATATTTACAAACTTTCATATTTATAATATTATAGTAGCATATACAAATAAATAAATTGCTTGCATCAAAAAGGTTACTAAAAGACATCAAGTCGGTATTAGGTTCTAGTTTTAGATTAATTACTACAAAAATTTAACACTAATCATAAGTTTCCTTAATCTTTTGGAGGAAACAATAAAGAGTATCTGTCTATCTAATATGTCTAAAAATAATATATATTTTTGTTTGCTCTAAGTTCTGGACGAAGATAAAATTGGTAATCAACTGTAGTTAGGTACTTAGGTAAAGGCAGCAATTTATTACAACCTTGCATTGTAATTTCAAGTGAGTTCAGCACCCTAACATCACGGGTCAAGGACTGTGAACGGCATAGGCAGTGTGTAGGTATTAGATACAATAGCAGTACTTATTTATTAAACGATACGTCGTGTAGTCATATTTTAATAAGTTGTGAAAAATGTACTTTAAATATTTACTATCTAGTTAAATGGTTTCAAAAAAATTTGGGTGTAAAAAATCCTTTAATTCTTGTTTGCACCTGGATTTCTTGAGAAATAGTCTCCGACTATATGTTCGGAATGTCTTTATCAAGTTCTGATATTTGAAATTCGGAGAAAATAACGGAAGCATAAAAATCATTAATTTTAGTGGAAGGTTTTATCTCAATACGTCGCGTCGGTTACAAGCTGCGCTTGCGTCTTCGCTGCATGATCGCTTCATTGACAGGGATAAAAAGTACCTAGCCTTCTTAAATCAATAATTATTATTAATTGAATTCAAGTAGCAAGCCAGTGGCGGAGATATTTTACTCCTCTTTGAGACATACCTGATCATGAAAGGTTAGTCTAGAGACTTTAGAATAAGATATAATAAATAGAATTGACTTTATGACCTTCTTGATCTCTTCTGGTACATTCATTTTTAGAATACAAGTACCAGGAATGTAAAAGTGAAAGTTCCAGTTTCATATTGAAATAACAAATAATTGAAAAATATATATAATATCATTAAGACTGATTGTGGCAAAACCGGTTATTGTGATTTAAAAATTAAACTAGTGAACCGATTTAATAACATTTCTATGGAACGAATGTATAGTCTTTCTAATAAAAAAAGAATTTTCCAGATTGATTTACAAATAATGAAGTTATAAGGTTACAAACATAGAAAAAAATACAGCCGAGTTAAAAAACTTCGTTTGAATTAGGTAGTAACAAAAATATTAATGAAAGCTTAATTTTTTCAAACAAATATATAAATGGTTTGAAACCCTCCGAATTTGAATTCCGTGACAAACTATTGTCCTTTTTACACACTGTCAAAGACATTATTTATACAAAGATATTGTTTTTATAAAAACTATATCATGACCAAGAATTAGTTATGGTAAGATTTAGTCGTGACAGGCGGCCAAACTAAGTAGTGAAGGGAGTAGATGTATGTCCTCGGGTGTAAAAACGCAGTGACTGCCAATTCTTGTTATCAATTAATTAACAATCTTTCGTAGTTTTGTTCATAGTACGATTATAATTTAATGAATGAATGTGTATACTTTTATTCGCAATGTACAACATATAGGTAATAAAAGAACATGACACACTATATTTGTATAAATACAATAAGGCGATATTATTGTAGGTGATCTTGACAACTTTAGAATATCTAGAGTAATGATAAATATTATGAATTATTTATTCAGAAATTTAATGGATAGGTGAAATAAGGAAGTCACAGTAAGTTTGTATTTAAATTGAATTAAAGTAAATAATTGTTTTATACTATACGCAAATTTGTTTACAAATTTAGGAATCTACGTATATTTCAATATTTATGACCATAAAATAGACATACAAAAATCTTTTATGATATTGTAAATTTGATAATTTAATATTTATTAAACAGTCAGAAGAATAATTTGAATGGACTCAGCTTCATAAAATACTAGCTATCTGGCCAGGCTTCGCACAAGTAGATAGAATTTTCTAAAAAATATATAACTTATACTGTTACTCGCTGATAATATAGCTTTCTATAGGTGAAATGATTTTTAAAATTGGTTAAGTAGTTTTTAGTTTATCACAAACAAACAATCAAATCTTTACAATATTGGCTTAGACACTAGTATGATACTATCTATAGAATAAACAATTTTACGATAAATAATTCTCAAAGTATATTGCTTGTATTGGATACAAGCGTCGCCTTTTGGTACTAGTTACTTATTTAAGTTAACATCATACAAAAATAATGATCAAGATAATAAGTCTGAATAATTACAGCACTTAAAGTAAATAACTGTTTCAACGCCACACGCAAATTTGTTCACAAATTTAGAAATCTACGTATATTTCCATATTTATAACCATAAAATAGACATATGAAAGATCTTCAAAGATATTGTTAATTTTAAACTTTACAATATCCCGTAAGTGTCGCTTGTTCGTTCTTAGTGAAAAAAGATGTCAAAAATTTTACCAATACGATATGAGAGAATGTATCTATATAATATATGCATCTAATACGTTTAGATCCAATAGACGTTGTCATTAATCAATGTTTCTATCCACTACGACCTTTTGCACTGCACAGCTGTAGCCTTGAGTGCACTTGATGCAATTGATGATTCTGAATGGTGCGGGATTTAGAAATCTATTGTGGCACGTAAGAAAAAATCAAATCAGTGCGTGTTGAGCACGCACATGACTTGTCCTATACCTACTGGGTAATGGAACTGGGAATACCAATTAAGTTGACATTCCATACTCAGATTGGTCATCAGATTTCTGTTAGTGATCTAATGACCAAACTGTAAATACCAAACATTAACGATTATAACAAAAATAATTTAAACCACTGTCTATAGTAAGTAGAGTTTAGTAAATGAAATTAATTTATTTTGCAAGAATTTAGGTGTATATCAAGATAAAACATGTACCAATTTAAATTAGATCTTCAGGAACAGTCAAAATCGTATCTAATTTGATGCAGTAGTTTTTGTGTGATGCCGCAACAAACATACACACAGATAAAATTTCTAAATATTACTATTTTAGCTTCTATCAGGGGGTCTACCATGAAATGAAATTGCAAATTTTCGGACTCAATTTCGTGTTTTTGTTCATACTGAAATCGACCCAGTAAATGGAGCTTAACATTTCGTTTGTCATAAATCCTACCATAAAATTCCAAAGGAACAATACTTTAGCATTTTTAATATTTTTAAACGGTATTATCATGTAATTTTAACATCAAATTTGTGTTTCGTTCGGATACGAAATTTCGGAAAACATTTCATGGTAGACTCTCAGTTTTATTACGATCCCTCATAACAATACAATTTTTCTTAAACATTTTCCATGTCTAGTTGCAATTTTATTATATTAGTAAGATTACTATTGATAATCAATTTTATTCAATTAAATTATATTGATAAATAATCGAAGTTTTTAAGAAATAGAAAAAGGGGAAAACAGTGTCTACATTTTTATTATTATAGATCTATTTGAAAGTTATGCTTAAAACACCATCATATCAACCGTTATCTGTTCATTGCTGATCATAGGCCTCTCTGTTTAATACATATCGTAACAATATAACTAGAATAATAACTATAAAGAAATATTTATTACCTACTTACTTAATTGATTATCATTACATATATTTTTAATAATGGATGTCACTCAAGGTTCCTTTGACAATTACCAAATTTTTTGTTACCTTGTCAAAATAAAACATCGTATTATTATCGTTAATCTTTAAGGAAGTTCTTTACAAATATGGAAGTTCCATAAACAACCTCTATTTCGTTGGTTGTTTCCTTTGTAATTATTTTTATTAACAATGTTGTTCAATTGACATTGGACATTTGTCCACAGTATTAAATCAAAATTATGGGTTTACAATACCCGTTTTATTTCCATTTTCTAAATGGAAATAAAACGGGTATTGTTTTCAGTAAGAAAATTCATAAACATAAATATATTTTTTTTTCATTTGAAGAAATATTTGATTGGAATTAAAAGATTCGTTAGCATAGTTTTTGTTCTTTATTTGAATTTTTTTTTTTTTTTTAATAGATATGTAATTATTGATAAAGTTATTAAAATAACTCAGATTTTGTGTGCCAAACGTTACGAAACAATATCGAAACCAATCTCAAAAAAGTGAGAGAGGTATTTCTAAGTTTCAGCAAGGTATCATCTTTTCTAGCTTTTAGCTCAGGAGCTATCTATCAGAAAAAGATTTGTAGAGTTCAATCAAAAACCGGTTAAGAGTCCTGAATTACTCCGTAGGCGCAATTTTGTGATGTTCAAAATTCGCCAAAATTATGCAGAAAGAATTAGTTAAATCTCATTTTCAAACCCAAAGTAATAAGTATAGGTACCTAAGCATTTATCAAATAAGCAATACATATAATTTTGTATATTAATCAATAAACAATGGGCAATTTAACTCGTTGATATATATATTCGTGACTTAGATTATATAGATACAAATGCTTCGTTTACCTTATTGTTATGGTATGTTGTCCATAGAAATGCTTCGAGAAAAGCGGGACAACTTTTTCATACAATTTTGTGTGATAAATAGTTATAAGTGATTCCTTTATAACTTCGATATTTATTTTGTTTTATAATTTTTGCACCGTTTTAATGAGTAAAACCACATTTTATTTATTAAATAATTAAATATAGATACACCATGATACATTCTGTGCATAAGTATATAGAACACAGAAAAAAAAATAACAATTATCGGACAAAAAGTTTACCCGTTTTCGAGACTCGATGCTCTATCTATGTAATCTAAGGTTCGTAAAAATTGAAAGATCCCTTTTAGTTTTTTTTTTTTTTATATCATCGGTCTTTGCTATTGACATTATGTATTTAATTTTTTTTATTAATTTAAGAGTATGTTGGGTAAAACACCTCGTCCCTGGTATGTGATACGGTTAACGAGTTGTCGAAACTTGGAAAAGTGCGACTTGATACAAAAAAAAGCAATCCAACAGTAAAACAAACATTAAATAATTTTTAAAACAATTCAGAAACCGTGCAATTTGTATGTATTGTAAATTAATTTAAGTATATTGTATTTTATATTAGAGGTATAATAATATAAACTACTTACTCCAGGGGATCCGCAGTCCAGTAGCTGGGCGAAGGGATCATTGGGAGCTACTGTGAATGTGCCCACAATATTGTTTCCCTGACGAGCTTGTAATAGCAGCCCACGGATGGTATTGTTAGGTTGCTTGCCCGAGATCACTACCTCCATCGGTGTACCGGCTTTTACGGTCTAAAAGCAGGTGATTTGAGTTATAACAGGAAATCAATATAAATATATATAAGACTATTTGTATCCTGCGGTTTTGCCTATATACATTAGTACATAAAGTATTCTGTGTTCTAAGTTACGATATGACCTACCCGTGTACCAAATTCCATTCAGATTCGTTCAGTAGTTTTTGCGTAAAAGAGTAACAAACATCCATCTATCTATGCATTCCTACAAATTATCGCATATATAATTAATAGAATAGTGACTAGTACACCATTAAATTTAGTAAACAAATTACTAGATACTGAATTATATCACAAGACAAATATTACAGGATTCCAAATCTAATTAATTTATTAGGGTTTTTGTTATAATATTGTCATATCTATAGGCCACGGTTAGATTTTCTATCAGGTGGGTCGTCAGCTTGTTAGTCATTTTAAGTTGCATAAAAATAATTGTACTATTAAAAGAGGTTAAATCCAATACCAATTGCTATACATAACGAGCTAAGATTTTCAAATACATCCACCTATAATTTATAGTAATTGACTAGACTAATATAAACGAAACTATTCACGAATATAAATGTTTGTACTTGAACGAACCCACGATCATCGGAAGAAGAAGCAGCCTATTAAACTTGGTACATCACTAAGATCATCATCATACCATATCATACTGTTTATTGTGCCCTTCACATTTAGGGACAATAACGTCCAACAGAACTAGGCGGTATATAATATATAGGAAAGTCATTGGAAACTCCAGCTGTAAAAATATGACGTATTCTTCAAAGTTTCATTATCTACTCAAACAAACAAATGGATCGTGTCACGCTTCTTGCAGCACTTCCTAGGTGTACAATTAATGTTGAGTCATCTGTAATAGTGTAAACTATTACAAATTGCAATCTCATCTGATTTATATATTGTCATTTGTGTTTCTTTTATTATTGATAATATTTTAATGTTTTACAAATAATATTGCTGTTGTGAAAATAGAGAGTACACCTTGTTTATAGACATAAGTACGACACTATGTGTATAATATCAGTCAGAAGTATCGGTCGTTTTTTATAGTTGTGGCATGTAATAAGATTATGGCGTCCATAAACATGTAAAACTGCTCATGCTGATTTGTTATTCTTTTCAGCTTCTTTGAAAATACCTCTAGTGTTACCTAGTATCTCAATATCATTGTCTATACTTTTCAAATCGGAAAATATTGTATTGTGTAAGATGATAGAAGTAACAATTATGTTAATTGAAGTACCTTAGTGCTGGTCGTGATAATATACGGAGGTGGGCTAGTCTGGGCTGAGACAGGATGCCTGGGAATCATGTCCAAACAGGCACTAGAAGGAGCACCACTGGAGTAGCCATCAGCATAAGCCACCATCGCCACAGCAACGACCACGTATGTGAACCACATCTTGAGGGATTCTGAAATAAGTCACTGTATTATGTGTTTTTTCTTAAAATAAAATTTAATTGTTATTTAAAGCTTGCATTTAAATATTATACATAAACAACGAACTCACAAGCCGAGTATATAAAGTTATATATATAAATAAGTTATTGTTTTTTTTTTTTCAGATGAATATAACAATAAATTATTGTTAATACTTTGTTACAACTAGCTTTTTCAAAACATAATATAAACTTGACCGCATAATAGTTTGTTTCTAAAGATTTATTATTTTCCAAAAACTATGCTACTTAGATATATGATTTTATTTTTTCCTATAATGTTCGCATGCCTTTATCAACTGTAATTAATTCAGACTTTTCGCTTCGCAAACTACAAAGATAAGGGGGAGAATAATGTTTTTACATAAGTTAAATGTAAAGTAATAAGCCGGTTTTAGGATATAAACTTAAAACTCTTTTTATATGATATGCCATTTTGAAATTTCAATTAACGAAATTTTCAAGTAAAGAAAATAAAAAAAGTTCTTTACTATAAGATCCAATTTTTTAATTACTCATCATTACTATCAACAATAACATAATACTATTTTAAATCGTTAGCATTAATATTTAGTAAAATATTGAGTTGGAATATGCAAATGGACGAGCGGACGAGTGAAGCCGTATCACAGTGTTACCTTTTACCTTTTGGATACTAACTCTAGAAACAACATTAAATATTGTGTCCTTTTCGAGAAAATTCTATATATGAACATGGTATATTTATTTTGATACTTGATAACTTTTTATGTTTTCACATTTAATGCAACGGAATGTATGCGGGTACATGCGTTACAAAATAGCCTTTTACATCTGTTTTGCAGAATAAATACAGATTATTTAATTCCGCTGCTAATGTTAATGTGGATTTTCGATCAATAGAATAAAGTCGATTTTATTTAGATTGAAAGAAGCAGTCACTGTCTGTGAAAGTACCCTGAGTTTTGTCAATCCTCAAACTCGAAATTAAAAGCAAACTACGAAAGGGGGTCATGGTCCTTTCTGTTCTTCATATCTTAACTTCTTGCAAAGCTACTCGTCACGAGGACAGGTTCCATATGTGTAGTGGCGTAACACATAGATCGACAAACGTTCTTGTCTGGCTGTTGCTTAAATATGCAAAATAAAGCCAACATCAAATTATTCTTATGTTTGACATTTACTTCATTTCATATCCATGATCTTATCAATTTTATAAATGCGAAGTTTGTAATAAGATATTTCTTAAGTTTTTTTTTAATTAATAACTATTTTTTTATATTATAGAAATTTTTTTGTTCTAAGGACTGATGTGAACAAGACTTCCGGATGAAGTCAAAACAATTGTCGGAAGCGATAAACACAGTGAGTTCATAAAATTCCCATTGTTTTTGTACATATACATAGTATTATTATATTAGAGATATCTAATACAAAAAACAAAAGGTCTATCTTGTATTGTTAGGTTTTCTTACATAAATTATTGGATTGCTTTAATAAAATCTTAAAATTTATAGCACTTCATTTTTACATTTTACAAAAAAGAGAATATATATATTTTGCCATTGGAACAAAAAGATAAATATTTTCATAAAATTTTTTACGGCTTTTTTTTTTCAAGTAATCTATTAATTAAATTCTTCATTTGTCAGAAACACAGACTATTACGACACAGTAGTTAAAGAAATTTAAAAGCATTAGCCTTATTCTATCCATAGGGTGTGCAAAATGCAAGTGAAGTAGCTGGTTTAATATAATCGAATTAGAGTTGACCTATGCTTGGTATTAGCGGAAGTCCGTTGGTAGTTGGCTTGACTCTGGTAGGAAGGTTTTCATATCAATGTCATATTGAAACTACTTATAGCAAGTTATAGAATAGAAATTAGGTATGTTGCGGAAGTGAATGTTGTGCTTTATTTGAAGTAACTTTTAATTTGGTGTTAATTTTATTTGCCCTTCATTAAATATTCAGAATTACAATAGATACTTATAAGTTCATAATTTAGTTATTAATATTTTACATACATATAAGAGAAATAAAATATTAATAATTTATCGGGAATTGTTATTTAATTTATATTTATTGATGATAATGATGAATGTTTAAATAATAAATATCCGTTGCATATATAAATGAAATGAAATAGTATTGTTAATAATAAAATTATTACGAGTATTAATTATATTTTTATTCTGAATAAACTTCCACAACATTATTTAGACCGATATATTCGGTACATTGCTTACTAAAATAATTTTAAATTATTTTTTACGTAAAAATTAATAAACCATTAAAATGTACTGAGTGCTATTTAGTTAACTAATGAGAAGTACTAATTATAACATTTGAGATGCTTTTTAAAAGTTCATGTTAAATACATATATCGATTAATTAAGAAGCTATTTGTAAAAAAACTAAATTAATATATTGAATAACTCTAACACTTCTTGATTATGCTAATATTAAATTTCAAGCCATATATTATTATGTTTATATTTTTATTTACCTTAGAATTAGTTCAATAGAACGAGAGACCGCGTACACTAGTGCGTGGACGACGTGATACAAACAGTGGACCCGGCACTTTGAAGCTATATATTACGCACCTGTACTACTGAGTCGAGATGGAAGGGCGGTGTGGTAAACGGCAAAGAATAGTTCATTTATGAATACAGAAATGCATAACACGTAATACATATTTATGTAGAATACAGGGGTTCGAAATAATGTATTTGAGAAAATTTTTTAGACGAATCGAAAATAAAGTCAGGTTTTAAAGACGCGCTTACGGACAAAGAAGGAACTTAACATCGCATATATGTATAAAATGAACTGAGCATATTTTTTCTACTTATACATATTTATACTACGTCAAAATAAATATATCAAAATAAATATATGCATATTTATTTTGATTGTTTCATATAATAAACTCTTATAGGGATAAACTTGCCTAACGTATTAAAATAAATTATATCTTTATATCAGTTTCCCTGCCTACTTAGCAAGAAACTTGGCGTGACGATAAATGGACATGGAAGTTAATAATTCCTATTTCATATTAATAAAATTCTTTTGTAAACAATAAATAAAATATCGTGGGTTTAAATCTGGCTGATACCAAAAACATTTGCGTGTCTATTTAAATTTTAGGCTAATTTGATAATACACCAAATGAATATAAGATACAGGCTCATGCGTAGTACATTACTATTATGTTTTTTTTAATCAATGATAAAGGAATAGTAATCCCTGTCTGTAAAGTCTACGCTAACTGTACACGGCTGGCGGGGCACCAGTGAGGGATGAAAGGGAAGAATGAAAAGGCAGGACAGTTAGCCCAAGGTGATGAATACACCTGAAACTTACGTACGATGGTTCCCAACAACGTGACAACGTGGAAGTCGACCTGACAGGTATATTGCTAGCAATGGGTTCATAGATCCGGTAGTTCGCATTAGTAACAATCCCTTTCTTCCTATTACTATTATATTTATTTATATTTGGTGAAATATGAACATGCCAACAAATTAATCTAAATACCACATCAGGGATTATAACCATGACCTATCTAGGGTAAAACATTGTTAGGTACGTACGAAGTACAAGCAGTGTCAACTTGTACGAATTTACTATGATTACGTTTTTATGGCTTATAAAATTAAATAGTGTCTTCAAGCAGTCTGCTTATATATAGTGTATGTACAGTATGAAGATTGATATACAAAGTTTCTGGAAATTGTGATACAATGTAATTAAAATTAAATATATATATATATATATATATATATATATATATATATATATACAGTTAACGGGCTGATATGATGATGATGATAGGTATGAAATCTGTTTTTGTTTTTAAATAACTGTAATTAAAATTAAATATATATATATATATATATTCCCTAATTCTAATTTAAGAACCGACCTGATCTAGGAAATTTTTAATCTAATGACTTGCAACATTGAAAAATAAAGTGTAGTTTTATGATTTAAAAAAAAATATATATTTCAGCCAATTTGACGTTTGGCTGAATAAAAATTGTCCCGTTTTTTTTACATTTGATGCCCTATCTATGTAATCTAAGATTCTTTTATACTTTTTATATACGGTTTAATATGGAATGAAATGTTCGTTGATAAACTCATTATTTGAAAGTGGGTTGACCGATTTGGCAGTTATTTATATTTTCGTAATAGTTCAAATTTTTTAAGCAAAAAATAAAGAAAAGATAGCATTACATTTGTTGGTACAGCTTACAGTAGTGAAACAGGTAAATTGATTAAAATATAAAGAATTGCACTAAAAGAACAAGCATATATACGGTCAAATTGAGAAATCTGCCCCTTTTTTTGAAGTCGGTTAACAAGTACATAAACATTCTTCTTTAGTTTAAGAACATCTAAATATCCATATATGGATGTAATATGTTTTATAGACTTAGGAATCTACCATAATCGCATAATGACATTTTATCTTATAAAATTGGCATGAATACCATACGTAAAAACCAATCTAATTAATTCAAACAATTTAAATGCAATAAAATAGGTTTATAAGTATACTAAATACGTAGTTTAGACGCGTATTGATGAGTCGGTTCGCTATAAAGGAAAAAATGTAGCTAGGTAGAACAAAGACTTAAAGCAATATTAATGCTCAGGAATACTGAAATATATATTTATTACTGCATCTAATCATAATTTTATAATTTAATAAAATATTTAAACTTGTATTATTATAACCTACCATGTCCTTTTTTACATAACAATGCGTAAATTAAAGTAATATAGCTAATAAAAAAAAGTACCTACAAAAAGATACGGTTAAGTCTGAATTGCACCCACATGTCGAAGGTTCCGTACATAAAATGATTTGTAAATTGGTGTTTATTACAATCAATTTGTATTAAAATATATTATAGTATATTAAAATAATAATAATAAATTGTATTACAACGAATTTTTAAAACTATATTTGTATGCTACGCAAAATTTATGTTCAAGCAAATAAATTATTATTATTTGTTTTTTCTCCTTTGATATTAAGAAACTTAGTTGTTAAAATTAATAGTCGTTTTTATTTCCAAACTATAGAGAGGTATTTAGATTATATCGAGAAATTTTAAATTAATACACTCTTTGTTACACATACATACTACATTAATCTATTACAATTTTTTTTATATTGTATCCGAATAATGTCACAGGGTACACTGCCAGTCAGTAGGTATAATATATCGTTTGATTCCTAATTGTTTCAATTAGGTTTATATAATTTATAATATCGAATTTACCTGCTACTGTCAGGCGTGAAATTGGAAAATAATGTGTCTTGATTAAGGACGTAGGTGTCTTTTATAATGGGAAATTAATTAAATACAACTTTTAAGCCGTGATTTGCATTTTTAGCTTATTCGAATACTAATAAGGAATATGCAATTAATTACTTAGTTTCAATGTGTGTTGTTTGACACTACCTAACAGGCATTTAATAGTAAGCACGCGGATTTGAGAATATTACGAGTATCATATTGTTATAGAGCTAAATGATGATTGATAGCCAATTATATTAGTTAACATTAGTTATATATAAATATATATAGTAATTATATATAAATTGTATATTAATACAATTTATATATAATTACAGATACCTTTTATAATATTTTGATCTCACTTAAAATCTTAAAAAAGAAAATTATGTCGCCGGTACAGATATCAGCCTTATTTAAGTCGTCTTTCCCAAGTAAAAGGTAAAAATACTTTTGTCAATAAATTGTAGCTTTGTTACCATTTTGATGCATGTCCAGTACGCGTATACTTTGTACTTTACTTACTAAGCTGTTTTCTTTAATGGATGAAGATGAAATGATGATGTACACTCGCCTCCGCTAAAAGTAACAGCAGGGAGTATAAAACGATGAGGATGAAGTCTTTTCTTTTTTTAATGGATGATAATGGAATGGTAGCCCCACCCGCGCTATCGATATACACCGGCGGGGCACCAGTGAAGGATGATAGGTGACGATGAAGTAAGTCAGTTAGCCCATCGTGACGAATTCAATAAGAATTGTTCACGATGGTTTTCAGGGGGAACCACGTGGAGGTCGACCTAATAAGGCATATTGCTAGCAATGGCGCTGTCAAACTCCATTGCTAACAATCCCTTTACCTCCCGTGAGGATGAAGTCAGGTCAGCCGACCCATCGTAAGGAATTCTCTAGAAATTCACTATGATATGTATATTATTTTTATTGGTTGAAAAGGGAATAGTTGCTTCGGCTGCGCTATCAGTTTACGTCGGCGGAGCACCAGTGGAAAATGATGGGACGAATTGATACGAACAAAAATGAAACACGAATGTTTTCAAAGGGAATCGCGTGGAGGTTCTAACGGAGCAAATTGTTAGTAATGGGGATTGACGTCCCCCAGTACTAATAAGGGGAAAAACCCTCCCCCTCCTTTGATTATGAGGTTTTTTAATAGATGATATAGGAATGGTAACTTCGCCCGCTCTAATGGTATACACTGGCAGGGCACCAGTAAGGGATGATAAGTGAGAATGAAAAGACGGGACATTTAGCCCATCGTGATGCAGATTCAATTACGCATCGCAGTTTTCAACACATCGTGATGAATACACCTAAAATTCAGCACGATGGTTCCAGGGGTGATCACGTGGAGTTCGACCTGACAGAATAAATTGCTAGCAATGGGACTGGTAGTACGCATTACTAACAATACCTTCTGCTACGATTATGATGGTTATCAGAGGGATCGCGTAATAAGCGATAGTTGTAGTTTTTTTTTTATTGGATGAAAATGGAATGGTAACACGCCTGCGCTAACGGGATACGCTGGCGGAGTACCAGTGAAGGGTGATCGATGAGGATGAAAACAGGCCAGGGCTAACTGGCCTGTTTCATCATGATGAATTCATCTGGATTAAATCATGATAGTTTCCAGGGGGAACTGCGAGGAGGTCGACCTGGTTGGGTATATTGCTAGCAATGGAATTCTCAGTCTCCATTACTAACAATCCCTCCTCCCCCTGATAGTTGTAGTAGGTTGATCTTTCAGGAAACTATCGTGGTGAATTCGTATGTTAGGTTAAGTAACCTGATTTCATCTTCACCTATCATCTTATCAGCTACAGCTACAACTGACCATTGCTAAAAATAGGCATTCCCCATAAACTGCCATAAGGATCCGAGCCCCCACCTATTGACTCCCTACTGCAATGTATTAAAGGTCGTCACTTCGTCTAGTGGGGGGTCCTCCTACACTACGTTTGTACGGGGTTTTATATGTTTTACGGCAATAAATGTATTTTATTATTAAATTATTAATTGAGCATATATAAACATCACATAGATGATGATTTGTTATAAGGAAATTAGAGCAATGATGCTGACACATAAACATTGCAGTAAGCAGATTGTTTTTACAGTCACAATGCAAGGGATTTTCCATTTGCATTTTTCAATTTGTAATGAGGAAAATTCATTATAAATTTTAGTTTTATCACAAAGTAGCCTACCTATTGCTTTGTATCTTTAAAAATGTAACGAGTAGATAAAAAAGAGAAGAATTTCTGTATTATTTAAACATCAATATTTGTAACTGGTTGCATAATCTAATTCTGAACATAATTACCTAT